ACTTGAAAGAATTGGATTTTACAAGTTATGCAGAAATGTATACAGCTGTATTTGCTGAAAAGTATACAGATATATTCACTTTTCATTTCTACAAGCTATTTATAATTAGCTCTCTGCTGATGTCACTCTAAGAAAATGGTTGCTGCCTCTCAAGCAGGCTTTGTAGGTAGTGGCAGTCAAGTTACCAAGAAATACAGATGGAATCTCAGTACTCACCCTCATAGCGCTGAGAGCACACACTGGCTGCACTTCCATGGATTCTCCACCTGCTCCCTTTGCTGGATACTTTGGACAGCCTGATTTTCTTCCCCTTCCCCTTGCCATAGCTCAGAAATAAATCCTTGCCATGGGTTGCAAGTGTCTCATTTCTGCATTCCCACCACTGGAGTTCATTTGTCCTGTTGCAGGATTCCAATGTGACGGCAGCCTCGTCATCCTTGGCAAGCACTCCCAGGCACAGCTTGAGTGCCATGCTCAGCAGCTGCGTGGGAGAGACCCACCTGAACTTCTGAAATTCATCATGTTCATCACAAGTGGTAGTTATCACTGAGCTAGAGTTCTGAGCTTGGGCACAGAGCTTGTTGTCTTCATTATAGATTGAAAATATTCCCCTACCTATAAAATAAAATGATAATGCAAACATTTGAGGAGAGGTTTCTTAGGAGATAAAGTCAGTTAGTTGCTATATGACAGTCTGCTACCAAAAAAAACCCAAAACCAAAGCAAAAAAACAACCAACAAAAACCAAATCAAACAAAAAAAAACCACAAACAAACCACAAAATAGTATATATAGTTCATAAAGAAAGAAATCAAGGGAACTTAATCATTGGGCTGACTTCATTGATTGGTATGAAGGGTATCTATGAAAATATTCTTAAAGTGTAAAAACAGAAAGGCTGAAAATACATCTCTTTCAAGATAAATTTCTTTTCTTCATATCCCTCCTGAAACCACAGTGGTCTCAAAATACATGTCAAAAATGACCTTCATTACATTTCATCATTTCTTCAAAGTTCCACCAAATCATATTTAAATGGGCTTTAATTCTGCAAATAAAAGGACTTTTTTTGCTTCAGAGCTATTAAAAATCGTTTACATACTCAAATAATTTTTATATTTGGCCCAAAACAACTTTGTGGTTTTCAGCTCACCAAGAAAGTGGTGTATCTTTCATTTTAGGTTAATTATTTTGGAAATTTTTTAGCAGCTGTGCAAAAAGTCATTTCTTCACAGAGTTTTATTTGCAGGTTTCTCAGGAGGGAAGCCACAACTTGCAGCATCATCAGTTCCAAGCACAGTTAAACTAAGCCAATATCCTAAGAGCTATTAATAACTACATTTGTAAAATAGAAATGTGAGACACTAGACATCAGGGTTTTGTTTCTTAAGCTCAGCTTCAACAAAAAGCCTGCTCCAAATCTTCACTCTTTTTGCAGCTCAGCTTGCATTCCTTCTCTCCCTTCTAGGTGACAGGCAACATCACCCAACTCACTCAGCAATGCCATCGAGTTTAACCCAAGATTTCTTGCCAAGGCCAGAATACTGAACTAGGCCTTCATAACCCTCCCATCTCAAAGCTGGCAGGGAGTGGTTGAACACCCATTATTGGTGTTGCTGTTCTGAGGAGCTATAAACCAGAACAAGCCAGATATTATTTTCTGTGACAGAGCTCTCTGGCTGCAGTGGTTCTTGGGAAGGTTAGCTAGCTAACCCTAGGCTTGAGCTAGCTTGGTCTCACCCAAAAGCATGCACAGAAGAAATTGTGGATGGATTAGATCCTTATTGGTGCATTGGCTGGTCTCTGCTGCCATTCAAGCAATAGTACTGGATTTCCAGAGTTTTCCAGCTGGGAACTTGTGGTGGAAAAGATACAGTGTCATTCTTTTCTCCTCTCAGCAGTAGGAGGGAGTGAAATTTAATGGACAAGGGGGATTTTAAGGTCCTTCCTAAAGGTTTCAGCTTGGAAACAAGTTTTCAATATGCACTGATCAGCGTGCTATGGTCCTATATGAGCTGCCAAGAAGCTCAAAGCACACATCAGTTCCATGCATGCTGAGAGTTCACTGCTCTGTACTGAGCTATTCCAGCCTCCAATGGAGTAAAGTGAAATCAGCTTTTGCCTGCATTCAACTATCTCAAGAGCCAGCACCACCAAGATTATGGCCACATCTGTTGGCATATTCATTTAACTCTTATACCTCGTTGAAACCTGGGTTAAGGAGAGAGAATGGCTATGCAGATACCACCAAACTTCAGAGCTGAACAAAACATATTCAAATTATATGCTGTGACTAGATCTAAATTCACTGCCCACTAAGGGAGGTAACTAGAACACATGCTAAAGAACTTGAAAACCTCCACACTCAGCAGAGGACAAAGACTTACCAGACATTTGAAGAGTTGTACTAATGGAGAGAAGAAAAATCAGGGAGAGAGACATGTAGAGAGACATGGCAAATATTTCACTCCTTTCCTCCTTCACCTCGTATTGATACTAAAGACCAAATCAGTGCCTTGCAAGAAAACCCCACTGCACTGAAGTGGATTAACAAACCCTTTTTAAGACCCAACAGATACAGGGAAGTTCTGAGCTTCAAATAAGGAACTGTGTCATGTCACATGAGTAATTTTGAAATAATACATTAATGAGTAAACTTTGCTTTCTAAGCTAGTTTTTCTACTGTATAAAACATTGCCATGGAAATATAAGATCTAACAGGTAATATTTTAGTGTGGATTTTTAAGACATAACTCAGAATCATTCATTTTACCTAAAGATGAGATTACTGATTCACATGCAGAAATAAATGAAAGAAGTAAAAAAGAGAAAGATTTGTCTGTAACAATACATGATGAAAAAAGCCAGAGTGCAGTGCAATATTGTGAAAAATCTGCTGGGACACCACACATATCAAGTAACTATGACCTTGGAATCAGAGAGAACCAGAATTTTCCATGACTGAAATTCCACAGAAAAGAAAAAAAAGCTGTAGAAAGTCAGATCTGTGTTCTTCAGGAGACACCTATTCTTTCTTTTGCTCCATTCTTGACTATATGCAGGAGTAATTACCCAACTGACAGCAACAGCTGAAGAAATTTGGGAAAGAAAACACACAATTCTGGGAAGAAGAGAACCTGTAACTGGATTTTCAATTATTGCTAGTGAGGAAAACTAAACTTATGAGGAATACTGCCTCATTTTTCATCCCACTAGTCTGTGAAAGTTGTACACCTTTTAAAGTTGTGCACCTTGTAAAGTATACACCCTACAGGCATTCTGAAAAAAAATCTGATGTTTACTTTGATAAAGTTTTCTCCATGATAGTTTAAAGAGCTCAAAAAACGTAGACCACAGGGAGGGGAAAAGGGACTCTGATGGAAGCTTTACATAAATTTTGGCATGTGGACTTTGAAAAATTGTATTTCCCATACCTCAGGTGAGTCTGGTGCGGGATACCTTCCCCAATATTGCATCTGCAGCAAAATTGCTGCTGTTGCAGGTAGTGAAAACTCTGGACACCCACTTGAAGATGTGGGATTCTGCTTCTATAACTCTGATTCAGATGAGATTAATGACCCACTAGGTCTGAAAATGCATGCAGAGAATTAGAGTAGAACAAAGCCACAACAGTGAGGGAGAGCGGTGGTAGCTCAAGGCCAGCAGACACAGCTAGAGCAAAGTCATGCAGGAAAGGGAGCCTGAAAGGATACTGAGACCTGCAGAAAATGGAAGAAATGAGGGCTGCTCTAAAAAGCAGTAAATAACTCAGTAAGTTATCATCCATATGTAAGGATGGCTGCACAGAGTCTGGAGTCAAGCATTCTGGTACTCCCCAACACCAGAGTGCTTGAACATGCAACCTCAATTTTCCAACTTTCCTTCCTTCCTTGTTCAGGAGCAAGACAAATGTATCTTGTGGTTCTGCTGTATAAAACATCTCAGAATATCCAAATCTACCAGGAGGCAACAAGGACAATCACAACAGAGAAAAAGGAAGTGGTTCTGTTCTGAACAAAGATCAGTGATTGGTGAGAGACTGGCATTGATAATCTGTTGAGAGGCTGAAAAAGAGTAAAGCATACTAAAGTCAGCTTTACCTCAGTGTTTGTGTTTGTCTGAGCAGATTGCATCACAGCCCACAAAGAAAACCAGAGGGCTGCGAAGATGTGCCCCAGGATCTGCCATTTGACAAGGCACAGCCTGACATTTTAAAAGTGGCGAGGAACAAAAGCTGCTGGGTTTTGTGTGGAGTCAGCATTGTTCCTTTGGCAATCTCTGCTCTCAGGCAGGAAGTTACACTCACAGTGTGCAGATTCACCACCTTTCTTCTGAAGTCCAAACTTTTTCAGAGAAAAGGGGAAACGAGAATTAAACACAAGGGTATCAAGAAACATTGCAATGTGAAGAGATAAAACCTTACACACTACTGAATATTGCCATCAAGTCTTTGCTCAGGTGCCCACAGAAATGGATGGGTGAGGCCATCTGGGTTCAAATGGATGCTTCCCTACATTCATTTTCACAAAAACTACTTCTAGTAAAATATGAAAGTAATTTTACCATCATTTAGCCTGCTATAACTTGATAAAATATTTCAGTCCAGAATCCCCACACACAGGACAATCACAGTTTCCAAGCTATAAACATTTATTTATTTCAAGAAACATACTCTAAACCTCATTAGGAACATTCTAGTCTGGAAAAAAAAAAAGTGAACAACCTTTCCATTTTGCTATTTTCATGCTACAATAATTAATGATTTCTTTCCTTTAAATTTTGTAAACCACCTGATCAAATACAAAAAAATCTTGCAGCATCAGAGGATTATAGTTATAAACTATTAGGGATCAGCTAAAACATTTATTTGCTTTTCATACATTTATTCCCTTGTTCATTCTATTCATCATCTTGTTTTTCATGGAGTTATTTTCCTTGTTTTTACAGCAAGTATATTTCAGAAAAGCAAGAACCCATTTCCCTCTGTGAATATATATATATATATATATATATATATATATATGTATGCAAAATACAGCCTAAGACCTCCCCTAAGTAGTGTCATCTACGTGGGGATCACAAGAGCAACAATTTGGTTCTAAGGCACCTGACTAACCCAAATATGAATACCAGTCAGTAGTAGAAAATGGTTGAAAGATTTGGTGAAGGATCAGAATACATAAAATATAAAAATAGAGTGTGTCCATATGAACATGACTCATTTCCAATAAGACACATTTCTTTTTTCCATTCAAATAGGGAAGCATATTTTACCTCTCTTCCTAGGTAAAAGCTTTCCATTTGACCTTATATTAGTTAAATATTTTTTAAAGTGTTCAAGCTTGCTTGTTTCTCTACCTTCTACTTAAAAACTTCTGTTAGAGTTTGTGTATAAAGTATCAGTGCTCATCTTCTGCTTATGACATGGAACTGTAATGATTTCCTGTGCTTTAAATGCTACTCTTTCTATATTAATCTTTTTAATGAGAAATTTGCTTCAATTCTATTGTCTTGAAATTGGAGGTACTGTAATCCTTGCATCTTCAAGTTCCACCTCTTCTGAAAATCTTTCAAGTCTTTTTCTAAAATCTTTCTAAAATGAGCAGGATAAGTAGCACAATCTCCACAGTAGGGCTTCTTATTTAGAACCTTTTCTAATATTTTCTGTACCTGTTTGGACAGGAGAGCAGAACTGACACAGCATTTCACAGAAGCACCTACATCTACTGCCAGCTATTAAGTAGCATGACATTTTTAATTCTCTTCAACTCAGAGATGATGCTGGATTTCAGGAAAAGTAAATGGATGAATGAGCTCAGAATTATCCAGGCTCCAGCAGCTGGATTCCCTCCCTGACACTTTTTAGTGATGTACTTTTCTAAGCATGGCAAGGAACCAGAAGCCAGACATCCCCTCTATTTTTATCTTCTTTGCAGCCATACCTTTGCATATGTGCATAGGAATAAAGGTTATCTGGAAGAACAACTCAGTGTACAGATACCATTTTAAGATTGTGCAGGGCCCAGAAGTGGACTGAGCTTGTTTTTGGTGAGACTGCACCTGTTAATTGTTTGCTCAGCAGCCAGCACAGTGAGGCTGGGATTCCAGTCAGGCTCTCTTGGCCTTTCATTGCCTATTTCACATAAATTTCTACCTGGCACCACTCCTCCATATAACTGAAACAACATGACCCTTAGTATCATTACTCAGTCAGTCAGAGCTTTCTGTCACAAGCCACATCAGACGGCATAAAAATCCATTAAAGATACTGATTCTTGAAAAAACATGCTTAAACAACTGTGCATTAAAAATGGAAACAGCAGTAGGAACAGAACAAGGAAATAGCTGGGAGAAAGAGAGCAGAGCCAGAGAAAAGCAGTCCCAGGACAAATTTTCCCATTTTACCTACATGTGTATGTAATTTAAAATTTTTACTACATCCCTCATCTCACACTTTTGTTTTGCCTTTAAGCAGATAATCCTGGGACAGATTCAGGAAAACATGGTTAATACAATTCTTGATTGCAACTTTTGCTGGAAAGTCTCCCCAGTGGTATCAACTCCTCTTTCACTTTATCATGTTACAGTGTCTTATATAGATGAGACTATAAAATGCAAACCTATTTTAAAAATCCAAGATAGTTATTTTTTATTTCACAGAGCAAAATCTGAAACCACAAAATCAATCCTTGCAAACTTTTGTATGCAAGTGAGGAATCATGCATGATTTATATTTTACAGGATCTAAAAAACTAGGAATATAAACTCCTTGGGGAATATAAGATGTCCATAAATAGTAGTTGATTTAACTATTTTAGAAAGTAAATAAAATCAGTAGCAACTATTACATTGGTGAAGTTAAATTGTTCTTTACTTGCAGCACACATCCCACAAACTTATTCTACTTACTGCGAAGCTGTAGAGAGCAGTACCAATATGTGATCACCACAACAGCTGTGCAGAAACCTTCTGCTCCTAGAAACCCTCAGAACCTGCACAGGCAATTTTCCTCCCTCCCCTCAGTAACTGTTGCCTGATAAGAAGGAAGTCTTGCCATGATCCTCATCATCTCTCACCAACAAACCCACTTGTGGCCAGCCAAAACTGGCAGCTAATATCAACCACACTTTTCCACTCCAGAGATCTGCCTCCAGATTTTACCTGATTAAATCCTAGAATACATAAACTAGAAGTACTACATTCTTGGTTTTCTGTGTTTATGAAGTTGTAGGAAATGAAATATCATAAAGTCTTTTTCCCCACATGGTTCAAAGGGGAAATGTGCCCAAATACAGACTTATCCTGTAGTGACTATGCCTGTATTTAAGTTCATGGGAATACTTGAACGATGGTAGAAGATGTTTACTGAATAGCTTTGAGTATCTGTTCAATAGCATGGTTTGAAATAAATCTGATGCAGAAATGTCAAATCTTGTGTGCCTTCCTCAAGTGGATCTATCTACATTCTACTTTCTTTATTTTATCCATTTTTATTGTTCCATTTAACAATTAGTCAACACTATCACTTTTCTTAAGGCCCACATTCACCCGTGTGATCATCAAATCCTGAGATCTGAAATCTTTCACCTTATGTAATGACTACAAAAGAAAGTAACTGCAGTGTATGACATTACACACACACAGAAACAGGCTGTTACAGTAATTGCACATAGGAAAATACCTTTGGCTTCATTCTAATTGCATAATTTTAATAAAACAAGGCACATTTTATTTTATTACATTACATTTTATATTACATATTACATTACATTTTCTTTTGTTACGTTACAGTGTTGCATGTTCATTCTGCTCTATGTTGGTCACAAGATCCTTTGTGTCACTAATTCCAGGAACTGCATCACCATTAAAATACAAATTATTCTCAAAGCTGTCATTTGTTGGCAAGCAATTCTTTCTTCTTTTGTAGAAAAGATATCCTGCAAGACCACTTCCAACTAGGATGATGACACCAACAACAACTATAACTCCTGTTTTGCTGTGGTTTAGGGTAGAAGCCTTCTCATCTTTTTTCATTGCTGAAAACAAATAGGAAGAAATCAAGAGAATGCTACATACTCTTTATCTGATTACTGGAAACAAGTTCTTTAGAGTGCATGATCTCTTAAGAAAAAGGGGTTGATTTGTTTCAATGTAATGAGAAGAAAAGGTAGCAACATAAAATAGCTTGATTTTAAATCACTATTATTGCATGCTATATCACAAATAATTTTTTTTTAAATTTTCATTTGGAAATGCACCTTAATAGGGTATATCGTGTACTCCTAGGAAACAGGTACAGTACACAGGCATATCAGAAAATTTAAGAGACATAATACAGAATAGAATATTTTTTGTTTATGATCTTATATGGGACTAATTTTTTCAACTTGAAAGACAAGATTCTTACCCATTGTAGGTATTCCTGGTGGCATTTCAGACGCTGGTGGCATTTCAGTTGCTGGAACTTGAAAACAATAAAAAAGAACTTTATTTTTTTGTATTATTATTTATTTCTACATTATTTAGTATTTATTTATTTATTTATTTCTATATTTTGGAACATACTGAAAATCATGCTCAGATAAGTATATGGTAATACAAACCACTGAATGCTGGAAACACTTGAGTTTAGTTCATATAAAATTATACACGCTTAAGGCATACCACAATGGTCTAACATGTCCTGGTCTCATATGTAGTTATTTACATAAACTAGAAAAAAAGAAGGAATATCAAAAAGCTCCATGAAGATTGATGCAGACATCAGAATGAAACCAAAAGAAAATCTATACATCATCTTGAGGATAGACATGGTCAAACATAATCCTCAATATAATTAAAAAATCTTGTAGTACTTGTTATATAAACATAGAAAGTGTAATAAATTTGGCTTGCCCAGAGACTTTGATGGCTTACCTGCGTAGACACTTGAAATCACTCATCAACTTCACAGTGTCCTAGCAGGTATCACATCTGAATTAAAGATTTGCAGTTCATTTAAATTTTAACATCTGGACCATGAAATCTGGCTTGCTGGATAAATGGGCCATCATTTAAGATGAAGGTCTTTATTTTGCCATGTGGATATAAAGTTTATTACTAAATCTTGAATCAATGCATCATGTTCTATTCTGAAAAAGGTGAGCTCAGGAATTTAAATTCTTTTTACCAGTTCCCACTTATATCTTTTCCATAGTGCTGCCCACTGATAGAAGAGAGGGTGTGGGCACCACTGTGCAACAACCTCTGAACACCAGGAAATGCTTTTTCACTGTGAGGGTGACTGAGCACTGGAAAAGGCTGCCCAGAGAGGTTGTAAATCATTGTCACCACAGGCCCTTTTAAGAAGTCCCTCTCCAGCTGTCTCGTGAGCCCCTGTTAGGTGCTCTAAGATCTCCCCAGAGACTTCTCCAGGCTGAGCACCTCATCACTTATGAAATAAAGTTAGATACTTTATGGTATAGACCTGCTACAGAACTCTCAAATTACAATGGTAAAAATTAGCTCAGTAAATGAAACAGATCTATGGGAAGACTTCAGTCATGTTTCTGTGTTTCAGCCTCTTCAGAAAACAACAAACACAACCAGCAATAGCCAGTGCAGCTCGGTAAAACCATGCCTCTAATGCTGCATTTATTGCTCTTTAACAATCTTTGTTGCTATTTAACAGTTTGTTTAAATTCTGCACATGGAACATTGCCACAGTTCTGAAAAACCATGCCAAGAAAAGGTGCATTTCTATGACAATGTAGGACTAGATTGTGTCCTGTTTCAGGGTGAGTGATTATATAAACCTTGCATTGACACTGGAATTAGGTTGAATCTGTGGCATTCCAGATCAGTAGGCTAGACTGGCTGAAGCTAATCCCAGAAAAAAGTAACTAACTTTCATCTGCTTCAGCTCTTTGCAGTGGCTCAGCATCAAAATAGATGAATGCCAGTAGAAGGACAAATATTTTAATTTAATGGTCAAAAAGAAACAGTGGCAATTTATTTTAACATTTGGTACCCATATCTAAAAATTTTTGTCAATGACAATGCAAAAAAGACAGATAAATGGACTCTGAAAGGGTGGATATACTGAGATTTTGCAGTATTTCCTGTAGAAGATACAGTCATCGTTACAAGCATTGGAGTAAGTAAGAATAATTTTGCATGAGAACAAATTTACAGAAAGGATAGCAGAATTTTTCTCATTTCCAGTATTGTAGAGGAAGTGGGTATATTGCAGCTACGCATTTCAACCTTCTTAGGAAGCATAAGTAAGAGACTTTGGTATTGCAGGATATGCTGAAAGAAATTATTATGATGACTTTTAGGAATACATATGCACTAGATGCCCCTACTGCCAAATTTGCACATTCAGTTATTTCAGGACACCTTCAGTTTAGCACATTCAAACTATGCTATTTGCTTTGCTTTTCATTCACTCATCTTTTCACAACAGGACACAGAGACAAAAGATCCCAAGCTGTTAAATAATTCACACTTCAAAAATACTCAATTCATAGAAACACTATGTTCAGAAAACATGTGCACATGAGACTGGCAGAGGGAAATAAACAATTCCTACTCCAGGGGCAGAGCAGAGGGGATACCCTGAGAAATATGTTTGCATATAGTGAAGACAGATTTGTGTTTGCAAGGCATGGTCCTTACATTGTGATTTCTCAACAACTGTCGATAGAAAACATCCAAACTTTTTAAGTGTGTATGCTGGATACAGTTAAGATATGAACATAGTCTTTTAAAAGCAATTCTTGAGAGACTTGACTGCTGTCCAGAACTACTTTCTGATAAGTCATTCTATCTTTTTGTTGGCATGGAAATGTGCATCCTTGGGCATTTATAAAATCTCAGAACATCCAGCTGAAATGCATTGTGTGTAATGACCCTCTACTAATAGTAGCATGCAGAGAGCATAATCCATGCATAAAACTAATTCATAAATGCAGCACTTACTTTTTGGCTTTTTACAAATATATCCTTTGTAGGAAGAGCAATAGAAATTATTCCAATACCCAGAGTCTGCATACATTTCAACACAGTGCTCATTTTGTTGAGAAGAAGGTTCTCCTACATTCCAGTTGACAAAATTCACTGCAGTGTTGTCTAGCCACAACCATTGTCCTAATTGAAAAAACATTGAATACGGAAAAAAATATAGTATTAATTTCCATACTGACACCTTCACATGCTCCATATTTATTGCCTTTGTGAGAAAATTATTTGTCACCACTTTTGGAGGCAGACCACTAAACTGTTTACTTCTGACATACGTTGCCCCTAAGCTTTTATGCAAATGATACAATATCAATTATTGGAAAACAGCAGACAAATCTGGCTTATGGTGTTGCAAAGGCAAGACAGTTCCAAGAAGAATCCTCCACAAGTCATAGCAATGGTGCAGTGTCAATTAATTATTTCCATTTATAGAAATAAGTGATGTTAAAATATAACATAGCTTCACTAGAATTATTCACTTCTTTATTTCAATCATTTGTGGGAAGGTTTTGTGTTACTCTTTTCAAAGCCCACATTGAAGTCTTTCTAGGTCCAATTTTATTCCATTTGTTTTCCAGTGTCTGCTCATTTCCACAAACTTTATACAGACAATTTTCCTTTTTATAGATCTCCTTCCAAAATCTTGTGATCACTGTTGCTCAGCTATGCTTGGGACTTTCTGCTTCTTCCTTCCGGTTCCTTTTTTCTTTCTTTCTTTTAATAGTGCTATTTATTTAGAATAAATGTACTCCTTGTGACTGCAAGTTGTACTCAAGCAGATTCTTAGACTCAGCATGAAAACTGTATTTTGATTTCTTATAAAAATATATTTTTATATTTCTTATAAAATATATTTTGCATTTGTTTTGGTTTTGATTTTTTTTTTTTTTATAATTCCTGACACTCTTCATGTGAGGACTTTGAAACTGAATACAATCTGGTTACATATATAAAGGTATGAAATTTAGCTATAGTTATGCTGAAGTTGCCATAATCACTAACTAGAGCTGTAATGAAGAGCTGAAGAACTCTTGTCTATGATCACCGTAAGAAGTGTGCTACACTGCTCTAGAACCACTTTAAGAAATATTTTTGTGTCTATTGACCACAAGAGTAAACCTCAGTATTCTCTATGTGTCATGCATATCAATGACTACTCTCAAACTCTTTCCATTGCCAAAAATTTTCACTATTTTAGGCCAAGATTCAAGCAATGTAATTAAAAAGTTGTCGTATCCCTAAGAAGTTTCTCATTCAAGTGCTTGGGTAGGCAATTGTAAAAATAATCTTCCAAAACTCAAGAAAACCCACCACAAGTCACCTGAACTATTTTGCAACCCTGTCACTGACTGTTATATCAGCATTTTTTTGCCTGAACAGTACAAGGCTGTGCTTTTTCTATCTAATAGCTATTAGAATATCTAATTGAATACTAATTGCTTTAATGTGAAGTCAACAATCATCAAATTTAGGATTTAATTAAAGCATCCTGTTGCCTATTCCATCTTGCTTTATCTTCCTTATTACAGAAGTATAATGTGAAATTTTCAACACTCATGTAAAATAGCTTGTGGTAATTATTCACTAAAAAAAAAGACACTAAAAGTTGAGAAAGTACCATCCACATTTCTGTACATTCCTGTCCAAAATGTTGATGTTTTCCCTTCAAGTGGTTCAAGGTTGTAGGTCAAAAAGTTGGCTTCAGCTGGGTCTTCAATCGAGACCAGAGTGGCACCTGGAAGACACAGGGGAAGAAAAATCCCTTAGAGATGTTTCACAGTGGAAATCATTCCCACTGTCCTGTCAACAAACTACTTCATGAGAACCCAGGAACAAACCTGAGTGTCAGAGAAGAGAGGGAGAATCCTCTCACCCAGTACCAGAGGTCGACATTTGCCATGGGTTTCGTTGTTAGGTTTTTGTTGGCCACATGTCAATATACTTCCAGTGAAGATAAAGCTATAAACAGTTCTGCTGGAGAGTGAATGAGATCTCTGCATAATCCAGTGGGAGACCAGACACCAGACACCTTGCCACCAATGCTATAAACAACAGTGCTACAGACACGTGAAGTCCAGCATAGCCAATCTTCATCCCTTTCCCAAAGAAGGAAGTTGAGAAAATGAAACTGCACAGCAGCTCTAGTTCAGTCATTTATTATCCAGACTAAAGAGCTGTAATTTTCAGTCCCATGGCATAAAACTGCAATAATCAAGTGGGAAATTAGATCAAGAACACAAAATATACAGATTCAATTAAAATAAGCTTTAGTGACTGCTATGGATGAAACTGTTTATCTCCTATCAGGGTCAAAGTACAAGTTTTCCACTTTCATGTTCTTCAGGCCTCAAAGCTCCCCTCATGCCTGGTCCCACATGCATGAGACACAGTGTGGGCCATATGCAGACAGAGGTTTTCCATCACCTCCCAAATTAAGGCAATTATTGGATGCAACTGCCTTGTCCAACTCTTGGACCATCATTGAAATCACAAAAACACATAGCACATGTTCAGCTTCCCACGGTCAGTAAAACGAGTCAGGAACATGTGCTCATAAAGTAGGATACTCACCTAGTCGAAGACATTCTAAAGATGCCTGGGCCCAGTTTCTTGAAGATGAAGATTCAATGTAGTAGCAATGTCCTCGGAAAGGGATCCAAGACCTGTGTCCTTCTGATTCAGGACACTTTCCTGGAAGCTGAGGGGGATCAGTGGGAGCTTGAACTGATTAAAAATAGTTTAAAAAAAAATGTGACTACTCACTTATATTCACTGCCTTTTGATTTTTGAGGTTTTTGATATTACAAATTTATTCAATAGCAGAATAAACAGCAGATTAATGTGAGTCTAAACTTTGCAAAATTTATCTAACCATATTGATATAAAGTGACAGCTATTCACAGTCACATTAGCTCTTTCTTACTATGTGTTTGCCTTAATTTTGAAGTACCCCTATTCAACCTAAGTAAATTCTAAAGGCTTCATCTATTTAGCTCTTGAAATAAGCCCCAGCATCTCTAATGAGATATTGATTGCAATTGCAATGGTCAGATTCAAATTCTTACCATCAGACTTTTTGCAAACAGAGAAGTAGCTTTCATTGCAGAATCCTGTCCTCCAGACTCCAGTAATGTCAAGATAGACACAGCCTATTTTTTGCTTTGGCTCCCCTTTAGCCCATTTCATGTACTTCATTTTCCAGTTATCAATCCATTCATAATGCCCATTGGTCTGAGGAAAAAACATCAACCAGAATGATGAAATTCCATCAATCTACTCTGTCTATATAGTATTTCATGCTTATAGGCTTGGGGCTTTTCTTAACAAATACAAGCATCTCAAACTTTGAAATTTTTGTTGTGACACACAGTTGTTTATTGAGAAATACAGCAGGGCAACAAGTACTTTTCAGCAGAAGGAAATGCCAAGTGTCATGGAGTTAATGTTGAACTTAACAATAACATTAATTTGGGACTAATAATATTTTCATTTAAAATAATTTTTGTGAGTGAAATTCTGATGACTAATTTTTGCACTAGCTGTTTCCCCAGAAGTTTCAAGACACAGATTATTTTAAGTTGAAATACATTTAAAAGTGTAATAATTTCCCACCAAAGCTGATTTAACTCAGGGATTCATCCTGGTGATTAATGTTAGAGGCATATTTTGATTTTTGGGAATCAAAAATGTTGATTTATGTGTATCACAAAAATGTGATATGTGAACATGTGTTATGTTCATATATTTGGGGTTATTTCATTTGCTCAGCCCAATGGAGTGTGTTGGATGAGGGTCTGTTCTGAAAGAAAAAAACATTGTATTTAAATATGCAGAAAGTATTAAAATACCAAACAACTGAGAAGGGGGACACAAACAAAATTAGACTACATAAACTAATTATTTTGCTAACTATCCTCAAAAATGTTAAAATATTCATAGTTATAGCACTTTCTTATATTTCTCAAAATTGAGTATCATTATTAAAATAAATGTTTTCCTCTATAAATTCTAAAATATGATGATTTCATGTCACATATTTATCATATTTATACCTGATATATATAAAGAGATATTCCAAGATGTTAGCCTAATATGCCTTATTTGGAAGTGCACAGGGATATAATAGAAAAAGTGTGAAAAGCACGTGCAATATATACAATTTAATCAGATTAACAGAAAAAGATTAATTCCTCTGACAGCACAAAGAAGTATTAAGGTCCAAGATATAAACAAATAAGCTAAAGTAAAGAGAGATGATAAGACTTTTCAGTTCCTGATTTGCCCATGAGAGAAGCAGCATCATGTTCAATCAGATTAACATTCTTACCACATTACTGTTAAGACCAATCCACACAGGCACTCCATACTTTAATATCTTCAGCCACAGGAATGAGTGACTGTAGGGGTCTAAGACACTGGAAAGGTCAAACTGATTTTGTTTGCAGTTTTTCCGTGCATCCTCCCATGTCATTTTGGTATGGATGAACAAGTAACTACTATTCCCATAATGGATAATGTTGGATGGGGATGAAGTTGTAGAAGGCAGAAATTCAGCATCTGTAAAATAAAAGATGAAAAAAGACCCATATACTTCCTCAAAAGGGGGGGGTATGATTTCACTGTGGTTATAAATAGAACTAAACAAAAGTCTTCCTTCTTTATTTCATATTCCCTGATTTATAATAAGCATGGGTTAAATGCACTATTCTTTAACCCAGCATCAGTAGTAAAATTCAATTACGAAACTGCAGAAAGGAAAAGAGCTGCTTAAAGCAACCTCTGACGAAGAGTAAAGGAGCATTCTGTATAATCATCAAGGATAGTACTATTGAAATTAGGACTAGGTCGTAACTTTAGTCATAAATTTTTTCATCTAATGAAATGGTTTGCAGAAACTTCAGTTTTTCAAGGATATTTTCCCGAGAAATAAAATGTTCACAGCCAACCAGGCCTTAAAAATTACTCAGATACTTAAACAGATGTTAGATTTAAATATTATAATCTCTTTTTTTGGAGGCAATTTTGTTCAAGTTCAGTGCAGATCAGTTACCGTCTCACTCCAGACAGTTCATGCTGTATGTACAAACCAATATTTTCCACAACATGTTTTGAAAGTCAATGTGCTCAGAAAATTAAAAAAACTATGGAACAAATGTCATATCAAGGGTCATACTAGACACAAAGATGCAGATACAAATTCCAGCTCAGGAAAATAGCAACACATCATTTGCTGGGAAGGGTCAGATGAGAGCAGTGACTAACCAGACTTCTGACACATTTGACTATTTGACCCTTTTGTTCCTGCCTGAAGAACAATTTGTGCATTTATCTTTACTAGAAGCAAAATTATGTTTAAATACACATATTTAAACAATTCCCTGGGGGAAAAAAAAAATCTAAAAAAAAGGGTTTTTTAATTAAAAAGGGAAGTACCTGCATTAATTTGGCATATATATCCTCTGCTGTTATCACAACTCTGATCAGCCCACTTCCCTGCTTCCTTAACAGGTTTGTTTTTCATGGCAACACAATCAGCCTCGAAGCAAAGAGATACAACATTAGTTAAAAATAGCTAGAAAAAGCAGATAGGAAACTTTTGTCCCCCTTTACATCTTCAGACACAAGTAATGCTGTAATTTTACTCTCATACCTTTTTAACATTTAAGAGCACAATTTCTAAATTCCACAAATGGTGTGGAAGTTCTATTCCCCTTAAACTTCACAAATTTCTTTGTTACTTTCTATTGCACTACATTGGGGTGAGAAAGAAGACCAGAGAAGTTCTAATATTCTAAGACCTCAGGCATACAGGATGGAGAGGAATCACAATTTAAAGAGAAATTAGATCAATCATTGTAGAAAAGACCAGGTAACTTTGCCCCATAAATAAAATAGAACCCTTAAAGTACAATGCAACAATTTATTGTTTCAAGCTCTAATGATACACACAGGTAAGTTAGAACAGCTCGTGCCCAAAGGCACCCACTGCTCTGTCAGTACCACCCTGACTGTGACATTTCAACTTCTCTGACACGGACACAAGAGCTAGAAATTAGATTAGCACATATTAAATAAACAGTGCAAGAGCCTGCAGGGTTACAAGAGGCTTTGTGCAATAAAACATATATACTTATTTTATTCTGTTTACTTGTTTGCTTTTTTTCTGTCCACAAGAAGATGTTCTGATAATTACTTCATTTGTGGGTGAAAAGCATTGGGATTTAAATCTTTCAAACTGAACAGCTGTGTACTAATTTGTACTAATTATGATAACATTTTTGCTAAGATCAAATAAAAACAAATCTAAAATTTATGAAAAAGGGACTTAATAAGATGTCACATAAGACTTCATAAAAATCCTATTACTTAAAAAAAGAGACAAACGCTTTTTTTTTTTTTGAGAAGTAGCATTTTCAAAATATTTTCCTTTTGAACTCCAAATTCTACCTAATTTTCCTCCTCCTTTAGAAATAAGAAGTTCACAGATGCTAATTTCAAACACCTGGAAAAATATATTATATATAAGGATACAATTTCTATATTAAAAACATAATTCAAGAGAAATAGAGTTAGCACTATAAAGTGCTGTTGTTCCAGAGTACAGAACTATCTACACACATATGATCAGAGAGAAAGGAATTCTGTGACCTATCAGATCAGTTTGACAGAGAAGCAGAGACAGTGATTTTCTAGTATTTGGGGTGTTTTCCCCTTGTATAAATTGAATGGCTGTCTTTTTATAGACTCATGTCCTTTTTGCAACTGTGACTGGCAGTATTCCCTTATTTGTTTATATGTGAGACACCTGTTTCAGAGGAATGTTTGTAAATGTCCCCTTGCAAACTACATTCCAGCTGGGAAACCTGCCAAATTCCGGCACAACTGCCACCAGAGGATTAGGAGGATGCTCTCATTGTTCTTCTTTTGGGAAAATGCCATGGGGCAGGAGAACCACTGCCCTCTTTACACAGCTCCAGAGAGAGCACAGGCTGAGCACAAAAGCTGTGTATCCTTCACAAACACAAAGAACTGAAAACTGAAACAAGTCTTTGTATGAGCACTCCACAGGTCCTGTCACCAGCTGATGCAGCAACTGCACAAGGGCTCAAAACCATTCACTCTACCTGGATTTATATTCAACATGTGTACAAGCATGAAGGCAGTAAGTCAAGCAGCAATATGTCTAAAATCATCACAAATGCATGAATCCAGTCTTAGGCAAGGTGGGAATTGGTCTCTTTTCCTTAGTATAACAAGTGATCTGAAAGGAGGAAATGGCCTGAAATTGTGCTAAGAAATTGGCATAACTAGATTGGATATTAGGAAAAAAATTCATCACTGAAAGAGCATTCAGGCATTGGAACAGGCTGTCCAGTGGTTAAGCCACCAGCCCCAAAGGTATTTAAAAGATGTATAGATGCAGCACTTAGGGACATGGTTTAGTTGTGGCCTTGGCAGTGCTGTATTAACAGTTGAACTAAACAATCTTAGAAGCCTTTTCCAACCTAAATGATGCTGTAATTCCATAAAACCAAATTTCAGTGAACAATCTGTGATTGCTATTTACCTGGCCGCTATATGCATATAAATCCATATGTCCTGATGGGAAGCCTTTGGCCCAGTTTGTAAAGTAAACCCCTGTTCCATCTGTCCAGAGGAACCTCATTTCATGATTTATATCATTTAATCCAATCCATGTCTCAGTGACAAAATCTTTTAAATGGAAGGTAAGGAAAGCTGGAATAAAAAAATGCAAAGAGAAAGAGGAATAATATTAATTTAGGACAGTTGAAATTTTTGGCTTCACTGTCTGAGATTGGTGGTATTAAATACTTTTCCTGAAATACAGAACACTCCACTGCTGGTAACACAAGCAGGTAAGATGAAAAGGAGATGAATGTTGAGTTGCATGAACTGGAAACTAGATAGATAACTGTGGACTTGGGAAAAATCCTTCATTAAAGTGTCTAAGCTGGTACTGGAATGAACCCCAAAAACATGACGGAAATAGTTTTTATAATATCCCAAGACACTTTTGAATCCTAGTTCAAGACATTAATAGCTGTGGGGACCACATACATTTTTGATAATCCCATAAGAGTGGTTGCCCCCAGTGACATAACAGTACCACCAGGTCCTGACATCAGTGTATCTGCACAAGCAGTGCTGTTCCAGAACCAGAAGAGTGTTTCTTCCCTCCCTGGACAGCTGGGCAATAGCCTGCACTGCCTTGGCAGGCAGCAAAATGAAGGAGAAATGAGTTCAGATGAGACTTAACAGAACTATTAAACACAAGCAAGTCAATTATCACAGCTTTGCACAGTCCAGGTGGGTGCTGATGTGTCTTAGCTACAGTGGCTAGGTCAGCTGATATTCATCCATGATGAACATTATGAATTGTATTCAATCCACTAATCCATGATTCATCGAATGTGGTGATAAAATGGATATACCATGTCTTCTGCCAACCACTGCAGTTATGGTTATGAATTTTTTTCCTCTGAAAATAATAGATTAATTTCTGCCTGCTGTGTTAATCATTCACCTTCTTTTGTTTCCCTTTTCCCAACCTGGAAATGAAACTTGAGATAATTTTAGTAAGGAGGTAATATCAAAGGGCATCTTTATTTGAAGGCCTTCAGAGGCAGTTATGGAAGGATGTCCACAACAGGCCACACCTCCCCCCTCCCCCAGGGGTGAGTACATTTTTATAGGTTTTAGGAAATTAGCATAATTGATAAAAAGCACCAATCAGGAGGACAAGTAGTGATGCAATTCCCCCACCAGGTCAAGCCTGTTCTCTGGAGCCCCTCTTGTACTTGGTCGGTGAAAATGGGTTGCTCTCGGCCTTGGTTCCCAGGAAGAGCCACAAAAGCACTGAGTCTTGTACCCTCTGAGGGTTGGAGCTCTGGAATTTGTTCTGTCCTTCTGCTTAAGGAAAGGCCATGGAAAAGTACTGGGAAAACTAGCCACTAATACAATGAACTACAGAGCTACAAATATATGTGTGAAGAATACAGAGAACATAAAAAAGAAAAAAAAGGCAAAACCTAAATGGCATCACCTTCAGCATTTTTAAATGTATGCATCTTACTCCTCGAGGAATGAAACCTGTAGGGTTTTTTGCCAAACATTAGCATTGCTGTTCTGCCAGAAGCTGAAAAGGAACTCAAGCCTTTATGCCTGCACTTCCTGCAGTGATAGTTGTGTGCTAATAGCTCCATTGCTCATTTCTCTTTTACCTAGAATTCAAGTCCTGTGCATGAACTAACCACCTGAAATTTGCACTGCAGAAATTACATAGGATAAGAATATAACTGTTTGAAAGTTTGATTCTACAGCTCTTCACAAGTGGAAAACATAATTAGTACTAAGTTCTTATCAACAGTTTAAATTAATACTATTTAATTGCTCAGACTTCAATGAATTGTTTTACAATGGTTGAGTTTTCAGTGTGCTCTCTTGAGTTCACAATGTGTGTTTTGCAGCATCTGTTTTTCATCGCATTCACACGTAGGATAAAACAGTATGCCTTAAAAAAGGGGTCTGTCTATCAAAGTCAATCTAACATCTCTCAAGGTCTTCCCCCATTTTCAGTCTGGACATGTGCCTTGTTTATTCAAGCATGAGGTAGCTTTCCCTTGCTCATCTCCCTGGGGCATGGATGCAGCTCTTAGGCTCATGTAGTTAAGCTCCTCTAGTGAAAAGAGTGGCACTGTGTGGTGAGCTCTGGGTATGTGCATGAGCACTCTAGACTGTTTCAAGTTGCCCACAGGCAAGTTCTCATTCTAAAGGTGTTCTGCTTGATTTTATAGGAGAGCCATGCAGCAAGGTAATGCCACCTCATGAAACCACATTGTTTGGAACGGAAATTGCAGCGTCCAGCTGGCATCATGTACGAGCAGGAAAAGACACTTCTTTGGCTGCCAGGACAATATACACATATATATATATCTCTGAGAGCCAACACTAAAATTTGGTAGATTCAAGTGAAGACTTCATTGTAGATTTCTAAAAGTTATATGTTTTGGGACAAAAATCAGATGTGCAATCATTATTCAAATCCGTTTGTATTCAGACAAAAACCCCAGGCATCCTGTAAGGATTAAATGTCATCTCATCTAGTTGTTACAAAACTGTGCACAGTACCTTGCACTTGTTCATTAGGGATCGAGGCCAGGTTTCCTCCTAAATTCATGCAAGCTGTTCGTGCAGCATGCCAAGTAACACGTTCCTCTTCTGTAGATCCAAATATTTTGTAACACTAAAATATGAACAAATTCTCTTTATATTATCTTTACTCCAATATGCCTCAACTGATGATCGCTGTTTTAAACAGAGCAGGATGGAGAAAAGGCAGCAAAATAATGCATTTATCTGAAAAAATACATTCAACTTTAAATGAGCTTTTTCATTACTCCTGGTCCTATATAAAATTAGAAGTCTCATTAAAATGTTTTGCTCAACAGCTAGATTTGATCTGAATTCCCTAGAATATAAGCAAATCCTGACTTTTCTATACACAGATAACAGTGCTAAGTTGTGTGTGACTGATCTTAGCCTGCCTGATTATTAATTTTATTCTACAATGTTAGTAAAGTTAAGGAAGACAAAATGTAGTCAGTAAAAAGCATTACAGTTTGGTTAAAAAACACCAAGATCAAGGCATCAATACTTTAGGAACTCTGACTAAATGTGTATCAAAAGATTTGGAGAGCTGACTAGAGAATTGTCTTTCATCAGCTGCTACTGAATTTGCTTCATTAGAAGCATCAGAAAAGCACTTTTCCTGCAAAACAATGGATGGGCAAACAAAGAAAAGCATGCATATGTCATAGCTCTCTGCATAAAAATAACAGTATTTTGTATCAATAAGAAACAGTAGGATTAAAAAATTCCCTTGTTTTCTCTTTAATGCTTTGCCAAAGGTCCAGCATGGACCGTATTTGTTATGGTACCTTATTACGAAAAGAAAGCCAAGCTGGACGACATCCTCTTGGAGTTGAAAGTGTTGTTGGAGGAACAGTTGAATTAATGGAACTGTTGTGTCTTTCACATATGTAGGGATTTGGATAGCCACAGTTTATGTCATTCCAAAATCCTGGGTGTAAGATAAATGGGGAACTGTATGACACCACATCTCAAGTTGGTTAATGGAAATCAGTTTCACTCATTCTCACGTACAGTGTCTTTAGTTGAAAGATAAGATCAAAGCTGTCTCACAGTTTATTATCATTCAATATCAGTGTCTAGGAAAAATATGTCACTTTATACACACTGTAATTACAGAGTGTTAAAAGCTTTTTAGAGCCAGGTACCAGAAATTTCATAGTGACACATTAGGTCAATTTTAATAAAAAATATAAACCAGCAATCACAACCACAGACCTCTAGCCACAGACCTCTATCAGATCTTCCCCATGTTAGGCTAAAGGTAAGCACCAGAGTACAAAACTATTAAGTCCTGTAAGTAATACTATGGTCTACTTCAATAGTTTTTTGGAAAAGAGAATAAAACAAAAGGAGGAACAGGTGCTTCACAGAAGTAAAAAAATATTGTTACACACACACACACACACACACACACACACAGATAATGAAATTAATGAAAGAACACACAAAACTCACCTAAATTCTTATACATAACTACACAGTTTTCATCATTATTTGCAAAGTTAGGTTCATGTGGTGCCCATGCCAAATAATTCACTGGAGTGCCATCCATCCAGCTGAAGAAAAACAATCCAACAAAATGCTTCTTTAACATAAAATAGAACTTCTTCCATGTTAAAAAAGCAATTTTTAAATATGCTTAATATAGCTGTTCATAGTAAAGTGTACAAATTGCCTCTTTACTAGTTGTATTAAACTTATTCTCTGCTCAATGACATACAAGGTAACATAGAAACATTGAAAAAGCTGAATATTCATGTAAGATTAGGCAATGAAGAACAAAATTGTTACCAGGCAAAATATTAAACATCTTTCTAGTGGTCTGCAAGTGACAGAGGTGCCCAGGTTCATCCTTCAGACACATGCATAAGGTACTTAAAAGTATATCCATCTTAGGGTCTCTACAAAACCAGAAAGGCAGAAACACCTCATTCTCAGAGGCTCACCTAACATCCTAATCATCCTCTGGAGGTCCCTCATTGTTACTGTGGACTATAAGGAGAACTGAGAACTACTAGGCATCTCTCCAGACACTTCAAACACAGACTGAACTGAATCTGAACAAATATCACATGCCAAAACCAATATGGTGCTGCATACTGTCATTCAGAAAGGCTTGCAGAAGACCTGCTTGACCTCACTGTGCAACAGCTATGATGGTTCTTGTAAAAGAAAATAGGTTTTATTTGTTCCTTTATTAGACTCTGTTCTCAAGTTAAGGATGGGAAAAAGGAACATTTTTACCTACCAGAGGCCTTATACATTTACAGCTCAGACATCAATTTATATTTTCAATATCAATCACAGAATAAACAAAACTAGAATTTCCAAATGAAAATTCAAAATACACTAGGTGCAGTGTAATTTTTCATCTGCCTTTGAGTGAATTTAGGAAATATGAAGCATTTCTTCTGGATAATCTAGACCTAAATTAAGATGTAATTAAACCACTAGAGAAGGTAATCATGTTTAAGGCTCAAGACTAGCTATGACCTACCTGGTACGTTGGTCAATACTCAGTTGTAAACCAATGAAATATGCATCCTCTTTGCCATTTTTCAGTATCTAAAATGAAGAAATTAGAATTTTACAAATGTCCTCTATTGTCACATAAAATGTTACTGAAGGGTAATATACCTCTAACTGACAGAGGATATGAACTGTATATATTCTCCAGCTACATTTAAGTTAAAGCAGCTCACAGCAGTCCACAGTGAAACTTCACCATTGGTCAAAAGGTGTCGTCACTGTATCAACACTTCTCACAGTTTTACTTGAAAGCCACTGAAATCAGCACCTGTTGCACAGTCTCTGCAGTGTACTTTATCTCACTTGCAAAGTGAGAAAAAAAAATTTCTTGCAAAGACAAGCCCCTATGTTTTGGATATATATTGATACATGTCCTGGTGTCCTCTCACTGTCACTCTTCAGCCAGCTCAGAAAATGCTTTATGTAGTTCAAATACAACTTTTAAGCATATTCCTGATTAAAAATGAGTTGTCCTCAGGCAGCATAAAAAGCAAACCATTCCAATGATATAGGAAATAGGATTTCAAATTTTTTTTCTCATGGCATAATCCATGCCCCAGTTTCCTCTAGCTCCATAATTATATTTTCACAACCAAGGAGACAAAGGAGCAAACTTGAGGACCAAAAAGAGACCACTAGATAGACTATAGCCCAGATAAACATACAAGATCTAAAGTCTTGTTAACACTTGTTAAAGTGTTGCATGTAAGTCAATTGCTGCTTTCATCCACTACTTAAGAAATCCTACACAATTACGGCTCACCAGTGTAACACCTTTTGCTAAAAAGAAGCCACAGATCCCTTAAAAATTAACATTAATTTGTTCTTCATACTAATCTGACTTAGTGTAACTGCAATTTCACCATCAAAACTTGTAGGGAGAACACCTTGGTGGAAAGGATCTGTGCCCATGCTCACTTGTTTTGGATGGTTTATACCATAATATTAATGGTTTTTCTTACATATCTCCAGAGGAACTTCCTTTCACTTTCACTCTCAATGACAGAAAGGTCTCCAAAGTTCTTTTTGCAGAACTCACGACCCTCTTCCATAGGAGCAGTCTCTGTGCTGAAATAGTACTGTTTATCTTCATGTATGATCCATCCATCCTCAGTAGTCTTGTATTCTGTAAGATAATTGCCAAGCTAACTATTCAGATCCTGAGATACAAGACATCCTCCCTGATAAAATTTTAACAATGCTTTTGAACACACACACACACACAAAGAGCAGTAACACCTACCGGGTGCAGGAGATTCTGTTGGTTCAGGCTTCACACTTGCCCCTGTGAGAAAAAAAATATTTATTATGATAGCATATTTTCTGTCTGAAAATAATATATTTACTGTAACTGATAGGCATGTTTTAATGCTGACATTGACTTTTACAGTTAGCAGTGGTTTTGACACCAAAATGTAGAAGAAACTAAATAGCCAAAATCTCTTATTTTTTGTATCCTATTCAATTTTAAATACATAGCCTTGTTCCCTGAGGTTATTCCTTACATGCAAAGTATTAAAATACCTTGAACTTTACCTGAATCAAGTAAGTTTTTGTTTATTGAAAGCAGTAAACCTGAATCAAGTAAGTTTTTATTCATTGAAAGCAGTAAACCTTATGTCCCAAAGCAATAACTCTGTTAACTCAGTTGTCCTGGATCTCCCACTCTCTCTTTTCCCCTGGTCACAAGTACTTGAATTCTTGCTTAAACCAGAGGCATCAGGAATGCAGGCTGGGTTATTGTCTGATGTGGTGCCCTAACTACTACAGAGTGAGGTTCTTCCCATCTTTCTCTGGTTGACAGTAACTTCTACCTTGATCTAAAAAATTTCCCTAGATAAATTCTCACTGGAAAAGATTTTAAGAAATTAATTGGTCCTTTATGAAAAAAGAAAAAAACAAAAAACCATACAACTTTAGACTAAAGAATTCCCTTGATTGTTTTTACTATGGCATCATGAACATGGCATCTTGGATGTCATCAATGGTATCTCAGGAAAGCAATTTATTATTCAGGAAAATTCTGTCAGTTTAGGCTTAACAATTAGTTTTGTGCAAAAATATAATCTCACAATAATGACATCTATTAAAAATATCTATGCCTAAAGAATTATTTTACCAATATAAGGCAGAACTGATATTTATTGTCAGTAATCTAGTGCATCTTTATTTTGCTCCTCTCCATCCCAATGTAAAAACGTAGTAAAACACTCAAATGTGCACTTTCTAAGAAGCTCAAATTTAAATAGATGCACTTCTAGTAGAACTCAAGTGTTCCCTAAATTATAAATGTTGTCTTAATGTCTTCAGTAAATAAAAAGCATCCAAACACATATCTCATGAGAATTTAGCAAGTAATCAACATGTGAATATGGAAATAAAGTATCTCAAAACCAGGCTCCATCCTGAAACAACACATTCTTAGCAGACAAAACAGCACCTGAGGCAGGTGAAGGAGGGATTTTTTACACATTAAAAAAACAAGTATGTGAACTGATTTGCAAACTAATTTCTAATAACTTGAAACTCAACTCAGAAAAACATATCCAGAATAGGATTTGCTGAAGAAGGCATGAATTTTCTAACTGAAAAGTAAAATGTGAACATGAATATTCAAAGTAACATTCCCAATTTACCAAGTATCGCATTACCCTTTTTGAAATCATAGAGAAAGAGATACTAAAGAGGTACATAGAGAAAGGTACTAAAGGCTATGCATCTTTAAATATCTCAAAAACATGGAAATCCTTATACCACTATGATGTTTCACATTTCACAGGGAACTATTCTTATAAAGGGCTTTTGAAATCTTTTATTTCTTAAAGTAAAAATCAACTGAATATATCTTCTTATTTCATTACTGCACAGGAGTAAGCAATACCTCTTCTTATTTGGCAAATCCATCCATACATATAATCACAGTGCCTGTCATTCCAAAGCATGCTGTAATCACCACTGATCTCTGTACAAAGTTCAGCTCCTTGATAATTATTTGGCTCTCCAAAGCCCCAGTTTTCATACCTCACCTACGACAGAAGAAGTTTTGTGAAGATTCTGTTATATGGAAATAAAATAAGGGAGAGAGGGAGGAGACAGCATCAAAGCACAGACCTAAAAATTGTTCCTATTGTCAGGTTAAAAATTTAGGTAGGAGAAAACCAGAATCCTCCTGTTCAAATGGTGAAATTTCAAACTTTTTTTCAGATAGCAAATGGATTGCAGCTTAAGTTCACACTGGGAAGAATATCAATATTTTCTATGGGACCTAAATTCTAAATTCTAAACCTAAAATACATTTAATAACAGTATTGTGACATGCTACATTTTCATATTAATTAAATATACAATATGAGTAAAATAGGATATTATTCAGATATAATAAAAATTTTGGCATTTGCTTCAGCAAAGTATTACTGCTATTCTAATGTTCCTATATAAAATAAAATTTCAAGTGTCTGTACTGTAAATTGCCATCAATATATATTGACCAACCTTGCATCAAGTACACCTTCAACTCCAAAGTTACTTTCGCTTCTACAGTTTTATACTTAGTTTAAAGTGCAGTAACTCAAACTAGCATTAAAAAAGTGTCTCTATCTCCATGGAATGCAAACCATGGATACACAGATAATGAGCAAAGAGAAGAACAACTAAAGAAGAACTACTTTATACAAAAAAACCCTTGCATTTATCAGAACATCCTTTTAGTCTACATGTGTTTAGTTTCCTTGTTGATTCAATATGTATCTTCTTATCAAAAATTAGTACGTTTTAGCCAAGAAAAATCAAGCCATGAAATATAATGAATATATTCATTAGCTTTCCTAGAGAAAGCAGGATACAGAGGGTTGTGATTACACAGAAACCCATATTCTGCACACACCTGAGAAGCACAGGGAATGCAAAATAATAGCTGTAGAAAATTTAATTACTCACTGGAGATCCATCACTCCAAGCAAAGCCATCATCAGGATTCAAGTAATATAAACCCATCCAGAAAGTCTGGTGGTAATAGCCATTGTTTCTAAAAAAAACCAAAAAACAATACTAATAAGTGCATTAAGGGCATTACAATATGTTTTACTATCTATCATTTAGTACAGTTAAGAGTTCTCTTAGGATAACTTAATGCTGTTAAAAACAATAACAACCAAGGTGAAGATAAATTAAAATGCAGCTGCTTCTAGCTGTTATCATTATAAATTAACTCACATTGAAATATAGATCAAGAAAATTACCAGATACAACTCCTGTACATAAAGTGGCTTAATACTTTTGTATAATAGTTCACTGGCTACTGTTGCTCCATTTCTCAACTCTTCATTTTCTCTGTAAAGGCACTTGCAGTTTTCAGAGAGTTACTTTCTGCAGTTGAATCATTCTAAAGATATCACCTCCAACTAATGAAGACACACTTTACTGATTTACCTGAATATATTCAGTCAATTTGTGACAATGAAGCATCTGAGACCTCTTCCTTACTGTAAATACTCAGCTAGGTTTCTACTATGGTAATAGCATTTTGCAGGACCGGGATCTTTCAGTCTTGGTTAACCAGAGATGTACAAGCTCCTTGAGCCTGGTTTGTTCTTGTTGTATTGCAAGTGTTAGATTTTCATCTTATTTAGAAATCTCATGCTTGTTTTTGCAGTTCAGGGACTTACTAACCTTATTTACCTTCCTTACGCAAGGAAAAAAATGAAGCTGAAGTTTCTTTTTGAATAGTTCATAAAAGTGACCAAAAAATCAACGTATTATCCAGATTTTATTAAACTGTTGCCATTTTTGTACACTTAACTGAAAACAACTGGCATCTGTGGTAATTTTATAGCATCAACAACTCCACAGTAAATAGCTTTACTTCAGATGATATATGTTGCATTAACTAGATACCTTGCCAATGCCATTTCAGCACTAGCTTTTGAGGTTCTTGCTGCTAGTCATACAACTCCTGCTATTTCATCAGCTCTATGCTTTTTCTGTCTGTTTGACACAGACACAGATACAGAACGCAGACTGGCTTATATAGAAGTAAACACATACACCTGAGAAGAAATATTTGAGAAAGATGAGGAGGCTAATTAGAGTGAGCTGCCGACCAGCCACGCTGCGGATACTCACGCGATGGAACGCCATATCGCGTTCTGCTCCTCTTTGCCGTTAATGGAGGCCAGATCTCCTCCTATGGATCGGCAAAACTCCTGCGACTCCAGCCATGTCTTCTTGTGCTCTGCTCTTGAAAAAGGCTAAAGAAACCGTCAGACAAAACAGACCATATAGGTCACAAGATCAAGCAATATTAGCTACCCAAAAGCAATTAATTTACAGCTGTATTCTGTGAGGATTACAGAAACTCTGAGTACAGGGCTTAGGAGTGGTCTCTGTGAAACACAGGCTTGGAATGAACTTTTTAAGTCAAGTTAGTGCATTGCATTGCTGATAGGAGCAAGACAACAACCTTAAGTTTAACAGAACTGGAAATTAAGAACAGAAGGTCAAACCTGAAGATTAGTCTTTAACAGAATAAACAAACCCATGAGCATTTCAGTAGAAAGGAAGAAGACTTCTATATATAATGTGAAAAAAACATTATGAAACAGTAGGACACACAAATACCAATTTTTATTGGGATCACAGAATATTCTGAGTTGTAAGAGAACCACAAGGATCATCAAGCCCAACTCTTGAGTGAATGGCCCATAAAAGGATCAAACCTGCAACCTTGCCATTATAAGCACCATGCTCTGACAACCTGAGCTAATCACATGTATGTGAAGTAAACAGAAATTACCTTAACGCAGAAATAATGAACATACTTACTTTGAAACAGAAGCTAATATGATTGCTTGATTCCCAGCCTTCTGGACACTGGGGAATAGGAGTTGTTGTGGGAACAGGTGGAAGTGTCACTCCTTCTGCCCACACTTTGCATATGAAATTTGCCTTTTCTTCACATTTTACTACATCCCATAATCCACCTGCTATTCCAGTCCTCATGGCAACACAACCTGGCTTTCTTCCTGATTGTAAACAGGAATGCACAAAAATGCCATTTAGGGTGTTATAAGAAGCTAGAAAATTTCATATTCTATCCTGGCAGAAATAAAGTTGTTGTACATAGTCAAAAATGTTTCTAATGTTGGAGTAGGTGCCCAGGAGGATCATAAAAGTCATCAGAAGGCTGTAACACCTCTCCCACAAAGAGAGGCTGAGGGAGTGGGGCTGTTCAACCTGGAGAAGAGAAGACTCCAGGGAAACACTACCATGACTACTCAATATCTATGGAGTGCTCATAAGATGAAGAATGACTTTTTACTGGAGCTTATAGTGACAGAACAAGGGACAACCATTTTAAAATGAAAGAAGGTAGATTCAGAATGGGCATAAGGAATGAATTTCTTTATTATGAATGTAGTGAGTAACTGGAACATGTTGCCTGGAGAAGTTGTAGATGACTCGTCCATGAAAGTTCTCCAGGTCAGGCTGGGCGAGGATTTGATCAACTTGATCTAGTGGAATGTTTCCATGGCAGGGGGTGGGTAGTAGGGGATCTTTAAACGTTCTTTCAACACAAACTGCTCTGTCATTCTATGGTTCTAATTAATGAATTTTAAAAAAAGACAAAAAATCTTAGTTCATCTGCTCTGAGATACTAAATTATGCCTCATACCAAATCACCTACAGTGACTAACTCTAGCTAGATCATAGCCTTAGATCCAACAAATTCTCCCCTAAATCTGAAGATGTGGTTAGAGTTACTTTCTCAATTTTTTTTTTTTTTATTTGACTTACAGTTTTCAAAATTAACTAGGTAGTTAAGCCTACTATTGGCTTCATGGTCTACATGGCCTTACCACCTCACCTGACACATTCAAATCAGCAATTAGGTACTGAAATTAAACAGAATCAGAGGACCTCCTGAAAGGCATATGCAACATTCCAGAACTTTGAACAACAACAATCACCCCCTTTCTGATGTGATCATGTCAGAGATTAAATGACCTGTATTTTGCTGTATTTTGGCCCTCTTGTCCTACCTTACATTCCCATCTTCTCTAGGACTCAGAGATGCTTCATGCATCTGTGATCCCACACATTCAGAACGTGCAGTGAACAAGTGAGCCATGAGATATGGTGGGACAGGCAGGACTCGCAAGGACGGTCACTTGAGATTGCTCCTCCAGAGCAGTGCAGACACAGACTTCCCCAGAACAGATGCAAATCAGAAACTTGATCTCAATGTAAAGTTTCTTCCCAAAGTCATACTAAAAACTCATTTCAGCACTAGGCAGCAACTTAGCAACCGTGCTGGATTCTTGGGGAAAGCAGCTGGATGTATTTGAAAGCCATTGGCCATTATGTCACCAAGACAGTGCTAAGGAAAAACTTCAAGCAGTGAGCGACTCATTTCCCTAGCTGGACTCATTAAACAACACAGAGTCATACCTACCAGGCATTTCAGAATTCCAGTGTGTAAATAAGACAGATTCACCATTAGCCCATTTGAACATTCCCTTTTCTTCTACATTTGAAAGTCCAATCCAAAAGTATCTTTCTGTTCTCAGCCCAACCAGGCTGGTCAGATAGGCTTGTTCATATCTGTTTAAAATAAATCAGTCAATAAATTAATGCTGTTAAAATTGTTTATGTTAAATTTATATTTATATTTATGTTAAAATTATTTATATTATTTATACTGTTAAAATAATTTATTTTTTAAAGTTGTGAAAGGCTTGTTATTTCCTCAGAATTACTGCTACACCTGCCTGAAAGCATAGCTTGGATGGATTTTCTTTAGCAAAGACTATAACAAAACCATTAAATAATAGATATTTTTTTAGCTTCCATATCAGTGTGTTTTGCTTTCTTCTCAGATGCCCAGTGAATAATGTGGCCTAATCATGGACCAAGAGGAAACTGGTGGTAAAGAAGAAACCTGACATGCCTTATGTTTTATACCACCGTATTTTGTGAGTTTCTAACACTCCTGTATTTTATTACTTCTTGCTTCAGACAAACTGAAAAAAGAACCTCAGCATTACTGAAGAAAGCTACAAAAAGTAGAAGCTAAAGTAGTATGATACTAAATTATAAAACAAAGGCACGCTGTAAGTTAGATCCAATGATTAAGCAAGATAAATTATATTTAGCAAACAAGTCTATGTAGAGGCAAAGTCTGTCATAGTTCACTGTGGTGTTTAGACAAACAGCTCTTAAGAAATCAGAGCAAATAAAAAAATGTCTCCCCCTAACAAGGTGTGGTCTGAAGGCTACATTAATGTTAAAACAATTTTATGGCAGCTGCAGTGCTACCTGTTTAGAGAGCTACCATTCATGACAGCTGGAGCTTTCACAGTAGAACATAACTACTTTGATTATATAGAAACTAATAAGATTATGTAAAGCATCAAGACATCTGCAAGAAAAATGTTTTGTTTCTTAAACTTTCTATATTTCCTATATTTCCAATAAATTAAAGGGTACTTCTTTTACAGAAATTTTGTATATACTGAACCCTGGCTGCATTGTGACAGATTTTCAGGTACCAAGTGCTTTACATCATTTGATTTCTCACTTAATTTTTTTAAAAGTATCTCAATTCAAATACCAGATAGTTGAAAATTCTATCCTCTTGCTCATTTGTACTACCTTTTTAAAGGAATTCAGAGCCATATCTCTTTTTGAGATTAAAGCTACTTGATTTAATAATAAAAATTGGATTCTGTATTCCTCACTCAAGTTAGTGACCACAATTAAGAAGCAAAACTGATTTCACTGCCATAACCTACTTTCAGTATAAACAAGATTCCTGGATTTGAATTTACATGTAAAAACTGTGAACAGTTCTTTATTGACACATAGCTGTCCTCTGAAGCTACATTTTTGCCCAAATCAGAGACATTATTCTGATATGCAGGTGATGCTAGAAGCTGAATCCTCAAGTGACCCCCTCTCAGACAAGTAGACATTTACTTACCTGTCTTCAACAGTTGCTAAAAAAGCCTGATGCCTTCCACAGGTTTGATTTGCTTGAGAAAATGTTACAAATGTATTTCCAATGAGGTAACAATAAAAACCATGTCTTTTCCAGCCCTGTCAAAATAGATGTGATCAAAAGTAGGAAAGGGAAAGGAAAAGGGAAAGGGAACCAGCAAAACAGAAAACTGATTTATCCACCGTTACCTAACCACTAGACAAAGGACCAGTGTAACGGAGAAAGGTCAGAGTGGGAATAGGCAGGATCAAAGCTTTTTAGAATTTTGTTTCATAAAACAATTTTTCATATCTAATAATTTTTCAATCAATGTATTCCACTCAAAAAGGGATGAGAGGCTTTTCTGTGTACCTTTTGCACTCAGAACAGGATTATAACCAGCATATGGGCATCATGCAATCACAGGGATGGTCTTGAAAAGCAAACTTCAGCTTGAATTTTCAGATAGGGAATGACACCTCAAACAAGTTTGTTTATTCTTAGCTAATATTAAAAGTTTTATCATTCAAATATTGTTTACATATTTGAGGAACATGTTCTCAGAGAAGGTTGCTGTGACCAGCCACAGTTCACAAAAAATTTCTTCTGATGGTTTTTAATTTCTCACTTTTGAGAGACTTTTTTTCTACAAGCATGCACTTCATTCTGTAGACAATGGTAACATCCATAAACATGAGGAACCCTTTATTTCCTCTAACACTTGTAAGGATCCTAGATACTCTTTACAAATACTGGGAATAATCATCCAATACTTTCTCTAAGGCTGTGTAAAGCAAATTGGGAAGAAAAGGCAATTTCTTCAAGGAAAACAAATACTCAATAAGATTTCCTATCACATAATAAATATCAGTAGTTTTTTTGTAATTACTGGGTGTTATGTCATTAAAGGCTAGCAAGTAAACAATAGATCTGACAATTCAGAAGAAGCACAATAGATTCATTTGACTTGGCCACTTGGCCAATAAGTTGTTCAAAGTAGAGAGCACTGCCAGAGACCACAGCAAAGCCCTGAGAACAGTGTTTAGACAGGGACACCCTTCCTGCTGTGAACAATTCTGTAGAAAGCTGTAGCTAGAGCTTAAGTGCAGCTGATGGCACAGGCAAACCCTTTAGGGAAGATTGAATGCCAATCAAGATAAATGGTCTGCTGCACGGATAGCAGGTTTGAGATTTGGTTTAAGTCCTGGAAAAATGAAGGGAGTATCAGAGCCAAATAACTGTCTTAGATTAGCTTTAGTCATGTATATCACCTACCCCATCTGCCATAGAAATGAGCAGGCAAACTCTTCTGATTATGATGAAACAGAAAACCTATTTTTTCTGGGTTTTCTGTCACCTAGGTGACAGTTTCTCTTTTTTATCATTCTGAGCAGCCTATTCAGATCAGACAACTTTTTCTTCACTTACTTTCTGGCAGCCCATGTCAATAGTTTCCTCTTCTGTGGGAGCATCTGACATAGGTTTCCTTTTACAGATGTAGCCAATTTTCTTTTCACAAGAATGGTCTGCCCAAAATCCATCCTGAACACACAAACAGAACCTCAGTCAATTGGGATTTAATCTTCAAAAAAAACTGTCTTATACTTCTAAGTATTTAATAATTTTTTGTTAGGACTGATCAAAAGCATCAACGATGGAAACATAAATGTACTTGGGTGGGTAAACATCAACAAACTGAGAAGATCAACTTATAGTTATGCACTGTTTTGTCAGCTGACAGCTGATTCCAAGAGATAGTGAGTTAGTACAACTTCCATGGAATTTCTTCAGCCAAAACCTACATCATGTTTTCCATATTGCTTTTGGGCACTGATGCAAGTGAAAGGACGCCGAGTCTTCTAAAGCTGCAAAAAGGAACAGCAGGCTGCTACTTTTATTTATAGCTACAGCCATCAGTATATCTATGTATTGCTCTTGGAATTAAAAGGGCCTCCGAGGTTTTGATACAAGTCTTACTTAATATGTATTCAGTGCTGAAGGACACCAAGATCCTTCTGTAGTGAGTGATCCTGTGTTAGGTGTGAAGGAAGAAAAGGCCTGGACCAACAGAGGATAGAGTCCTCCCTTCCCAAAGTCAAGGACCGCCATCCAGACTGAGTATTTTCAGGTGGTTGTTGACCATTAAGCACTAAGCTTGCCACTGAAACTGTATTTCTGAGCAATGATCATGGCTTATCTGGCTGCACTGAGTGCTGCAGTTTTAGCAAGGCATATAGCACATGACCAGTGGGCCCAGATCTTAATGCTTTGATGCCTTCATCCTCAAACTAATTTTATTTTAATCCCCAACCAAATGCTGGATCTCTTTTAAAATGTCAGGTCATCTTCTGTCAACAGATTTGCCTCAACACATACACACCACTGCATATATCTGTAACTATTGTTGCCTCCTTGTAAATGAACCCAGTGCTTTGGTCTGAACTTCAAAATTTTACTGACGAAGTAACACTTTACAAAGTGAGAATGAGGACATAAATAGCAATGATTCCTATTTTTCCATCCATTTCTTTATCCAGCAGATTTCAATGGATGGCCACATGGAGGAGGAGAAAACAGTAGGGTAGAGCAACAATAGTTTTTCCCAGGTCTTGGCATTGTGGAGCAGCATGAACTGACTCCAGACCATTCTGTTGGTGCCCGGCACCAGATGATACTGCTAGGGCTAGTTGGAATCCCTACTTGCCTTGCCTTTCTCCTGAACTCTTATAGAAACTATCAAACCGTCTTTCCTCTAACTTTGAAACAGAAACTAAGGTTTCTATTTCCTAGAAAAATATAACTCATACGGGAATTCGAACCATCACAGGTGACTTACTTAGATTTGCAGAAAATTAAAATCTAGTGGATGCCAACTTCTGTACACAAATAGAAATTTTTAACCTTAATCTAAGTTCCTCAAATTCCATAACACTTGGCTTGGCCAGAAAACACCATCTCAATACTCAGAAAATGACAAAACAGGTTCTGCTCTTTCCTGGTTTTTTCTTGAAATGCTTGTTTGAAGGCAGTCAAGTAATTTTAATGAAAATCAGAGCTTTACCAGTGAATTTCAGCTTCCCTATGTTTCCAAAAGACTGTAAATATATATAAATGTTTAAAAATGTATCTAGGAAATATGAATATCAAGAACTATCCCAATACTTTTTTAAAGCACTACTCAAACCACAAAATGAGGCCTGTCTGCCTCTTACTTCCTCTGATGCCTCCTGCACCAATACTTCCATGTGTAATATCATAAACCTTAACACCAACAGATGGGGTTAGCCAAAGGGCACAGGCTGGTAGGTGAGACACGACCTCAAGTGTGTGTTCCTAAAAACTCAGCACCCACATGCACCAAGGCCAGCTGCCCTGTTCACTTCCCAGGCCTGAGCAAATTCTTCAGCCTTGACCAGAATAGAAGTCCTTGAAGCAAGTGCCATTTAGAATCTCAATTGACTGACTCTCACATTGGAGCACTCAGCTTCCTTCCACTGTCTGACCTTATAACTCTGATAGGCAAATCATCTCAACCAGCACTGGCATAGACACTGCACAGACAACACAGCACAACAATTCTCACACCCTTAAAAGACTGTTGGCTCAATTACCATGTGCACCATGGCATGGCTGACATGGAAGAAATATACATTTACACTCTTCTCACCAGAGTATGCCCACTAATACAGCAGAGAATATTTTTTTTTTAATTTATTTTTAGTAGGGACTCCTCTATGTGCCCTACTAATTTCTCCTGCTGCAGAGCTGGCTCAGCCCTCTCCTGCTGCACTCAACCTTCAGTGTTTCTGCACCAGAATTTTGGTGACACATGAGCCAGGTGCATCCATACAGGCCAAGGTTGCTGCTGATGACTTCATTGAAGTGAAGCAAGTGAGAAAACTAAGCCTACTGGAGCTTGACTGAGAGCCTGTGCTCCAGGTAGAGCTCAATAGAGTGTCTAGGAAATTGAGAAAAAGACCCTTAGCTTTCCTCTTCAATTTATAAGTGCAGTCACCAAAAGCATAGCAAAAGTACAACCATCAAGTTTTAATTTTACAAAGTAAGAAAATACGTATGGTTTGTGTACACACTTTTTCCCCTCCTGACAAAATAGGCAAACTCTAAAGGAGGTGGTAAGCTTAATATTTTTAATTATCACAAAAAAGGAAAAAAATACAGCATCAACAAAGACTGACATTTATGCCAGGTATTACCTCTGTGTTCCTGTGATACTCCTGGGTCACTGACCATTGCCAGATTCCAGAAATCAGCCTTTTCAAAGCAGCCTTTAAACTGTAGGTATACAGTCACTCAGGAAAGGCTTTCAGTAATGCCACTGCTAAATATTTTACTACATTTCTCACAGCTCTTCATGTGCAGCGCAGATATAAGAATAAAATCTAAACCACCTACAAGATTGATAACTTTGACTAGAAAAATAAAATTAAGATTTCTATTTTCTTCTGAAGAGAGCATTTCTCTCTAGCATCAATAAAAATTCCTAGTGCAATTTTTAAATGTGAATCCCATATTCAGTCAAAACATAAGAAGCCAGACATATCCAAAATGTCTTCTTAGCTTCCTGAAGAAACACATTTATATGTTCATCTGCTTCTCAGTGTAATTATAAGATTATTTTAAAAGTCCACATGCGCAAACTGAAATCAAAAAATATGGATCTTGGGGAGCAGTTGCTACTACTTGTCTGCTTCTTGGGGGAAACAGTGAAATTTTCTGGTAACCTTAAACAGATCTTTTCTCATAAAATTAATTCCTGACTCTACAATAGGCTGCTTCAATAGGTAATATCCCCATTTTTTAAGTTATCATTATTATTTGCTCTTGCATAGGAAAAGCCCAAATGATAAATTACATTATAAGACAATTTGGTCAATAGCTATGTGACTTTACCTTTCCCTTCATAACAACACAGTCCTCTTGTCTGTTGTTTGCATGAGTGGGTTCTCCACGAAGCCACTTTGTGTAGGTGACAGGTGTTCCATCACTCCATTCAAAATACATCTGAACCTTGAGGTCATTCAACCCAATCCACAGCTCGTCAGATGGTTCTAAAACATACAATTAACATTCCTGTCATATAATGTGAATTTCTGTCTTTGTGGAAAAGAAAAAATTTATTCTCAGGAAGTTGAAAAGGCAGTCAGGAAATTAGGGTTCTCAGCCTCATAGAAGTCAGACTGATTCTCATATACCCACTCCAGTCATCAGGAAAGGTCACTCCCCAAAGTGGTAATAAAATAAGGGTGTTCTGCTTCATAGAAAATGACCACAATACTCCCTTTGCTGAGTTGTATTGCAACACAACTAGGTTTCCAATTCAAAACACTTGTAACAAGATATGAAAAAATGCCTAAATAAATTAGTTCCCCTTTTCCTCCTACTTTTAGTATAGTGCAAAAAGGAATGTCCTATTTTCCAAAGCTAAGACACCCAGTGATGTCTTTTAGAGCTGAAAACCAGAGTATTTGCAAGTTTTCCCATTATGTGTGTTCCTATATTTTATTTATTTCTGAGTAAAGTGAAATGACAGTGGTTGTTGAATTTTTTTCACTTTACAGTTAAAGGAGTTAACCATTGGCTTTTGGCTTAAGGGAAACTGCAGGACTGGTCAAGGAATTTACTTCACACTGTCTGTTTCTGAGAGGTTTTCCATTCTGGCTAACCAAGATACTGCCAATATCACCCTCCCAGCCAGTCGCTTGAATGACAGAGAGTCAACCCTCTGTATTTTCTCCTTCCCTCCCTTGACTCTCCTGCCTTTACTGCATCTAAGTGTGATCAGCCCTCATAGCTCATCCATAATTCCTTACCACCTCTCCCCTATTAAATTCACAAGCTCTCAGGCTCCATTTTCAAAATCACACCTTTCCCCCTTCTTGCAGACTGTGTTTTATGTTCAGAAGTCCCCCAAAATTGCATTTCAGCACCCTGTTTAAATTCTCTTCTACTAACACATTGAGTGTTCCAATTCTACTGTCCATCATGCTCTCAATTCCCCCCTTGCCCACTGTCATCCATGCTCTTTAATTTATTTCTTGTTTAGTTACCTCTTAAAATCTTTCTGTCTACTTTTACTGAGCATTTAGCACAGAGGAGGCATTGTCCATGCCCAGAGCTCCTACAGTGGTGGGCTCACACCAAGGTAATACGAACAATAAACAACATTCTTTAACAAAATAACTTCATCAAAGCCATCTAAATAAGCCAAGCAAATCTATGGAGTCTCTTCCTACATAACATTTTCTTTCCTCACTAGAACTGCTGCTTTTTTGCAGTCATCTCTACAGCTGTAAACACCAAGAGAGGTTTTTTTTTTCCAGTAAATTGTAAAGCTGCTTCCCATTCTCAGTCATGCACTGGGCCACATTTGTGCCCTATCACATGCTGGACTTCCGTGTAAACATCCAGAATGCACTTCTTTATTCTTCATGTTCCTCTCTAAAGTTCTCCTTTGTGGGTGATGCCAACAAAAGCTCAGCTATCATGACAATATTAATCTCATTGTACCCCTTCTTCCTTTGTTTTATCATGGGACTGTGAATTGTTTGCACAAAGATAAACTTTTGTTCTTTCTGTACAGCAGTGGTCTGATGCAGACAAGATTCTCTAGGCACTGCAATACACGGTGTTCTCCTCTCAGTGGTGAACAAGGGTGATGTGATACACTCATAAACTGTTGTAAAAGGCTTCTTTAGTTGTCCCAGTTTTACTCCTCTGACAAGAATGCTTCCAAAACAGTCTGTTGCAGCTAGTGTGTCATTTGTGAGAAGCCTGCTTTCCTTCAGGACTATTTGCCTTTCAAAAACACTCAATTTTACAAAAACAACAGCAGTCAGTTCAGGAAAGGACTTTGGAGGAGGTGTCAAACTATGTAATAACCTACTTCACATATATAAGGTGAAAATACAACTAGTTTCCTTTAGAATCTGATTTCTATCAAATGTCTTAATGTCTCATCAAGAAGTCCCACCTTTCCTAAGAGTATCTTTTAAAAGAGTAAAGGTTTCATGTTGTTCGTGAAAAACCAAGTCTCTCAGGAGACTTCTTTCAGGAATGTGAAGGTAAGCACAAGTTTCCATGGAGGTAGCAAGGACACAAAAGTAAAGTATGTCAACTGTTTTATTATTTCCACTCCAGGACTGCTGCTATGCTGCAGCTCAAAGTGCGTGGCTACACTTCCAGTGAAGGATAAACTCACCTTTGCCTGGCACTGAAAGCACATATAGGATCAGTCACTGCAAAGAAGCACACCTGGGTGTGAACCTGCTTCTCCCACGAAAAACAGTTCCTCCATGCAAAAGCAGGTTCATGTAAAGCAACAGCAACCATGAAATTGCCTCAGAGTCAGCACAGCTTCATTCTCCTCATGAACACATCTTGCATCTGTAGACTAACTTGCCTTGCAGCAGCTCAAATGTGTGCTCAGAAACCAAGCACGTAAGTACTGTATTTGATATGGGACACATCTGAATCCATGTACTGGGACAGATGGATTCTTTTTCAGGAGAAACATGACTTGAAACATAAGGACATGGCAGTGTTAATAACAGGGCACAGATCCCAAACTGTCTTGAACCAGCAGATTTTGCTTCCCCCCATCTATTTTTGAAGATCAATCATAAAATCCTTTTATCTTATGAAAAGTTTTAAATTGCTTTAACCTGTATAAAAGGAGAAAGGAAGGAGAAGCAGATCCTAAGAAACAGGAGTTTAGAGATAATGCAGTTTGCATCACCGCAGCTTTTTTGTGGAAGCAAAGTCTGTTTGGGTTTTGTGCTCCTATTCTCTGTTTTTATTACCTCTGATTTTTAAATTTAAAATTTAACTCCTTCTCCAATCTGTGATCAGGACAATTATTTTTAAACAGTCTCCTCATTTTATTAACAGGTAAGACATGTTCAAAACACCTTCTTTACTCAGTAAATATATATATATGTTATTATGAAAATATACTCACTGTACCCAAGTTGAGAAATAATAAAGCTGTATTCTTCGACATTATGGATGCTCGCCAGATCTCCATCCTCTTTCCTGCAAGATGTTAAGGCATCTTTCCATATTTTGGGTTCCCTGTGAATTATGTAACAGTTACCAGCATATGACATCCATTGATCAGGACACCTAATAGGCACATTTGTCTCTGAAAAGAAAAATTGCCATGAAAAGTTTCAGAATTCTGTTCTTAACTAAAGACTAAACATCACATCAGAAAATATTTAACAAAAAAACTTCAGTCATATATTTTCCTCAAGAAGAACAGAAGAGATGACAAATATGTATAGTGATAAAAATCTACGTGAATAATTGAAAGTTGAAACTTCCACACTGTTTTTAAAGAACAAGTGTTTGTAACTTGAGAAAATACAATTAAAATACAGTTTTATCTTTTATGCATGCATACATGCATACTAAAATGCAAAGTCTGCAGAGTGGTGCTTTATAATTTTTCTACACTGATGTCAGCACCTCTCTTTAACCACCATGCTATATGTTAAGAACCTGATTTTACAATACATATTTATGAGATTAACTATTTTTCCCAAAAACCTAGGGACTTTATGCATTAGCCCATGTGCTAAACTACGGAAATAAATAACTGAGAATAAGAATCAGAGAACCCAAAGAAGATCACTGCTTTTAGGAATCCTTTTCAGCAGCTTAACTGAGAAAATTATGTTGTCAAATTAAATGATTTATGCTTAAAACTTGCTTTCAGAAGCTCAGTAGAAGAGCACCAGGGTATTGCCAACAAGCACATTGCTGTTCAGCAAACAATTCAGCCTTGGGAGGAGTGCCACCCGAACATATAATAAACAGAGTATTGCTGTTGTAGAAACAAATTAGGATTCTTGCAGCTCTTTATTTATAATCAGCAGATGGGTTTAGCAATATAGAGTAGAACAAGGACAGCAGGTTTTCAGAAATTCTGCTGGCAAAAAAAAATTGTATATGTCAGAAGAAGAAGCAATGTGTTTGTTTAACAGTGGGATATATTCTGTAGAAATGTTTAAATAGACACCCAAACTCATGACCAGTCAGGCCCATGCTGCAGGCATGTATCCTGTTTCAACTGGACTATACTGATGATTAATAGATACTTTGTGTCACAACACACATTTCTATTATAAACAGTACCTGCCCATTCAGATCTGAATCTAAAAAGTGCTAGCCTGCTCCCACAAAGTTCTAGCAAAACTAAACTTTTTCCCCAGGACAAGGGGCTCAATAATGCTTGGTCAGAGACCTCTCAATTCTGCCAAAGGAGAGGAAAAAGTGAAATAGAGGGTGGGGGAACCCCAGGAAAACAAACTGAATGTTTGGTGATGTTGGGAGAAACAAGAGAGCCCAGCGGTGACAAACGCTGTTGTGGAAGTTAGTCTGATGCTTCAGACAGCCGCCAAATTTGTCCTATACCTGGCCTCAGCTCTGAGCACATGCATCTTACAGTGCTTTGTCAAAAATCAGAGAACACTCAACATACCCTTCTGCAAACTGCAAACACTGCATAGAACAGAAATCACCAGTTCAGACATGGCCTCAGAGAGGCTCACAAAGGTATTCATGCCTCAGTGAGTCCGTGAACATCTCTTATTCAAGTGGATGCAGACTGTGACAATATGACTCACTAAACACTAAAACAGATAAGCAGGTATGGCAGGACAGCAAAACTTGTGCTTGTAGACCCAGTAACACCAGGGAACTTGTTGCAGGACACAAAAAAAAAAAAAGAAAGGAAAAAAAAAAAAAAAAAGCTGTTGGTGGTCTACTTTCTTTGGTTTAAGTCTTACTGAATTACATTGCTGGGGATTTCTTAGTACAAGAAACTCTTCAGTTCTTCATTTCAGCTACTCAGCAAAAATTAACTTGGTGCTTCCTCATTCTACTTCTAAAGAATCTACTAGACAACTCAAAGCCATCCAGTTTACTTTTTCATCCTTATGGAAACAAGTGTTACTCCCTGGACATCATTTCACTTAAACAAAAGAGGCAAAGTAAATTATCACAAATAAAAGGTAAAAGATAATATTACATTAATGTGTAAACAATATTATTCCAAATGTCAAGCTGATAAATTTGTTGGCCTGTAGCTGTAGAACAGTTATTCCTCAAATAGAGCGCAAGTACTCTTGTGAAGCTGACTTTCTTGTGAGCTTGACTTTCTGAAGTCTGCAAAATCTCGCAGTACTTGACTTGTGTGTCTAAAGCTGAAGTCAGTCTCATGATTCAGACATTCAAATTTCTCTCTTAGATCCATGCTATGTGGTCTGATAAGACAGAGATACACAGCATCTCAGCAATAACAGTAAGAGAATTTATTTCTTCTAACAGAATATTTAAAGAAACATTTGGAAACACTATTTTAAGATCATCACACTTTTTTGGTTTGGGATGAAATCTATGTTGGCAATCACTTGGTGAAGGAAGATAGACAGCCTTTCCTTTCAGCATTTAGAATTTGACCTGAATACATTTCTATTAATCTACTTTGCTGGGTTACAGAACAAGTGCTCTGTAGCCCGAAGATACTTTGATGTACAACATGATGTGGCCCCCTGCTGGAAAAATATTTTGTTACAAGAAGCAAAAAATAAAAACGCAAAACAATCCTGCTGATGTTTGCTTTGTGAAAATCCATCTGTAATGGAAACAAATATTCTGTTTTTTCCCGCCTTTGTTTCAAGTACAAGTACGATTACATTCTGTTGTAAAATGTTCCTCTGTCCCACATACTGCCCTTTTAGACACGATTACAACTTCCAGGGTTAAAATTTAAGAGGCATTTCTTTGTGCTTAGTGACAGGCGAACAACTAAGTACATGTATGAATTTGCAATTAATTTATTTCTTAACTCAGGAAAACATAATCTGTCATGAGTTTTCCTTTACACCTTTAGCAGCTGAGGGCACCTAACACCTTGCATGATTCCATGCTTACTCCTTTTATTACTTCCTCCCATGGGACATTTTGTAAAATATTTTATAAAGTAAACCACTGCCAATCTCAGGTTTATCTGCCACAGTGTTTACTCAGCAATTTATGTTTAATTGAGAACTTTTTTCTCTTCCTTCAAATTGCTGGTAAAGCAAAGGGTGGGGTTTAGGAACAAAAGCCAAATTCAAAAGGAAGTAATGATCATTAGACACACACCTCCCTCCAAAAAAAAAACCCTGAATTTAAATTTAAATAATATAAATAATATAGAAGCCAGTCTTAAACTGATAGCATATTTATAGGCATCAGTGTTTCAGAACTTATGTAAGAAACCTGAAAAGCTGAGCAGTAGTCAGCCAAACAACCTAAAACAACCTATATAAATAAAACTATTTGGATATCACCTGTACACAAATCCAAACAAAACTTACGTCTTAAATTAAGAAATTATTTAAACGTGCACTGAAGTCTTTCTCAGCTAAGACAATTAATTTACTTGATTTCAATACCAAATTATCTATTTAATTAATTAATATGTATTTCAATATCTACTTAACAACACACCAGCTCATTCTTGTGGCTTTTTCTCTTAGCAGCAAAGCCAAACAAATGGGGCAGAATCCTCTGTCCTAACTGCTTTTAACAGGACTGGCTCTATATTGGCAAAAGCAGAAAAAATATTAAAAAAACACCAACTGCTTTTTAAGGCAAATATCAAACACTGATTACACAGGAAACAGGGAGGCCAGAGCAAAAAGGAAGAACACACTGTTCACTTTTAGAGGGAATCTTGGTCAAACCACAGTCTACAGAGTCCCTTGCTTGGTTTTACCACATTCAGTAACAGCTATTCCAGTTAGAGATAAAAAACACTGTTCATTGAGAATTTGTTGAGGGTTTATTACCAAACCTACCTCTAGGAATAATGAAAGATTCTAAAGTAGCATTTCCTCGTTTACAAATATAGCCTAGTTTCTTATCACATTCCCAGCTCTCCCACTTAGCACCTTTGCCAGGATTCAATGCACCACAGATTTTTCCAGGTTCTGGAGAAGGATGGCCTTAAAAAAAAAACAACAAAATGAAAAACAGAAACCAAAAAACTACCACCACAAATCTCAGCAACAGAGTATAAGCACAACAGGGTTAGGCTCTCAACTCTCATATCCCCTTCTGGTTTATTCTTCAACCACAAAATGCATTAACACATAGACAACTGTGGTACTCCACAGTCCTTTAGCCTGAAGTGGGGAAGTTCATTCCCTTAAGAGATAATTTTTCCACAGCAGCCATAAGTTGAAAATTCATAATTTAACAGCTTCTTCACATGTTCAAAATCCTGGTAACAGTGTATGTGTTTCTTTTCTTTGAAATTTGTTCCTTTTCTAAATGGAGAATGTCTAAGGTCCAGAGGACAGTCTTTAGGCAAAAAAACTGTTCTGTAAGCTAGTCAAATTCTGTACTTGATATAAGAAAAATAATAAGTAATTATTTTGCTGATGTGAACTTCCTGCTTATTTGTCTAAACAGTATGATAATATCAGAATATTTGTATATTTTTTCTGTAGTTGATTAGCATTAACACTAACAAAAACACCTAGAAGAAAAGTAGAACCTGCAGAACAGAAGAAATTTCAGCAGTAAACCAGGTGAACTTCTCAAGATCTGACATACTGTTACTAAATTTCTGACTCTACATCACTATACTACATAACAAGCATCAGTACTACACAGAATAAACACAGCAAACTAATATTTTTAGAGTCCAAGATTGTTCACTGAAATTCTCTTATACCATTATTATTTCATTACTTTGGATTAAATACTTTTATATTTGCAGTCATAGGAGAAATAGATATGCTTACTTCAAAAATACTATTTTAAGTTGTTTAATTGCACAAAGAAGTTCAGCTATTGGCAGCTACAGCCCCAAAATATCTAAGCAAAATTGGTTTTGCTTAAACATTGATAACAGTTCAATTTTTTTCTATTTATTTAGGGCTAAAGAGATAGAAAAGTATGAAGTTCCCATAAATCCCCTTAAAATATGTTAATGGGAAAAGCCAGTTCTTTAACATCCAGTGCAAAGCAGATGAGACAGAGGGAGGCTGACCAACATAAAATCATGAAGGAGATAGCAAAAATGTAAAATATGTTATATGGACATAAGAGTAGAGTATTATTTTTGAATGAAATTAAGGAACATAAGCAGTTAAGGGTAAATGTAGTCCATTTTTGTTACATCAAGCCCCATATTAATTTAATTCTTTACAGTACATCTGAGAGTTGTCTGCAGTTTTAAGAATCGTGAACATCATCTCAGTCCTATAAATACCTTCACAGCCACTTGCAGTTCTTCTCTTTGCCCGTGTGCTCCCTCCACTGGAGAACTATTTATCAAGTAGTTCAATTCACTCCTCAGAGCTTACCTACTCAAAAAGTTTGTCCAACTAACATGTGCTTTTGGTCTTCTCTACACAAAAAAGGCCCTGGGTGATACACTGGAGCACACACTTACAGTTACTGATGATTAAATGCTCAGTGAAAATAAAGAGCATTTACAATGCAGAACTTCAGACACCTACTTTAAATCAGTCTCCAAAAGCTCCCTAAATAGCTATTGCAAAGGAACAAGGCAAGAGTCCTGGCACTCTGAATAGTCAACCAGAGATGATTTCACCATATGAACAGATGGCAGAGAAACTTTTTAATGATGACACCAGAGTTCAACTCTGCAGCCACACCTGTGGAGTAGCTGGGCTTCCATGAAAGTAGTCTAGCCTCAAATGTTCAGTTTGATATCTGCTGTTGTTGTGGGTAGGTTAATCCCAGATGAAAATGAAAAGCTGTTCCTCAAGCAAATAAAAAAATTGAACATAAACATATTGGAAAGGAATTTGAAGTAAAAAACCAAACAAACAAACAAAAAAAACCCCACTGTTGATCAGTCTAATCTCACAAATGAAGACATCTACAGCACCTGATTTCTTCTGTATCCAGAAATAAAATAGATTAGGAAGATATGCAAATGAAGCATCAACAGGTGACTTAAAATTTTCCTATGGATTTTGAGGCTACCGTTTCTATTATGAATAATAATTAAGCCTGGTGCATATCCCTAGCATAAGGGCCATTACTCACAGTGTTTATAACCACAATCAGAATCTTTCAGCATCAAAACAAGCTCAATAACTGCAGGAGAATGGAGTGCTAGGAAAAGATATCTGTTACACAATGACCAAACTTTTGCCTTTTGAACTGAGTAGCAATGAATTTAACCTTACCTGGAACCCAGTTTAAGTACCGAAAAGGAGCACCACCAACCCACTGCCATCCACTGTTGAAATTCAAACTGTTAAGACCAAACCAGAGAGCTGAGCTCAGTGTGCGAGTCAGACCTAGGCAACAGAGACAGAGAGAGATATTGCAAGTCCACAGCAAGAGCAAACACTCCTCAAAACTTGAGAGCTGAATTCTAGTTAAGCCTTCTCCTTTTTCCTTGTACAAGTTTTAACAATTTTTAACATTCTAGTTAAGGTGGTTATGCTAAACCTGAAAAACAGGTCATCTTACATTGGTCAGTTTTGTTTTAGAGTTTTGATCTATTTAGGTTTGGAGAATTTTATCACAACAGAAAACAAAATGACTCTGCTACCACTGATCACAAACATGAAACTTTTTCTTTTCAGAACTATAAAATATTAAATGGATAAAGTTGCATAAAAGGTCAGAAAACCAAAAATCAGTTTTCTAAAATGATAGATATAGTTTCCCAGCATTTATTTTCTTTTCCATAAAATTAACAAGCATGAATTTCACAGTGTAAAAAAAACTGTCCTCATTTATCAAAATACATTAAAATGCAATCATTTCAAACATCATCTTTTTAACAGTATATCTTGTGCATTTTTCAGACTGATCTGATTTCAGTTCTTTAGCCAATGATAAGTCAAGCTTCAAAAAAAAACCAGTTCAAATTTATTCCTCTAGCTCTGAACGCACTTAGAAATATCATGCTTATGTATGGCTCTGCTGAACATTATTCATAGTCATTATTAATCAACTGTCTATCTCTGCCCTCGGTGTAAGGCTTGGAAGCACAGCTGGATGCCTGCTGATTTTTTTTAATTTAAGTGTGTTTCAGCACAGTTCACAGAAAATCACTGTGCAATATGTATCATTTGTTTCTGCTTCTACTGATGGCATCGTGCCAAGATGTGGCAATTTGTAGCTGTCTTTGACACCACCATGAGGGGCAGCACTCGAAACACAGAAAAGTTAAAAGGAGAGGTTGTTGACTGGAAAGGATGGGAATCTTAGATCCGATCCTGCACCAACACATTAACATGCTTTATTATTTCTTCTGGACAATTTGTGGTTAGGACAACTGAGAACTGAGCATGACAAGAAATCCTAGTACTGCCAGGGTAGTTGCATAATGAAAAACTGATCTTCACATACATTTAGCTGCCATATCTATCAGTTTGCAATTAAAACACATCAACTAATAACTACCTTCTGCGTCAGCAACAGTTTACTCACTTGAGCACTAATTTCTACAATAATTTTCTCACAGTGATTTTAAAAACAACCCATATTTTGACCAAATCTTTAAATTGAAAACAGTTTAGACAGAAGAAATTGTTCATAGCATTAAAAATACATTTCTCATTCCTCTAAAGTGGAGAAATATGGATTTGATTGATGGACTACTAGATGGATAAGGAATTGGCTGGGTGTCTGCATCTAAAGTCAACAGCTTAGAGTCCAAATGGAAACCAGGAACAAGTGGTGTCCCTCTAGGGTCTGTATTGGGACCAATATATTTAATGTCTATGTCAGTCACACAGACCGTGGGATTGGGTACTCTCTCAGCAGGTTTGCAGATGACACTCAGCTGCGTGGTGTGTTTGACTCACATGAGGGGAGCAATGGCAGCTCCTCTGACTGGCTTGAGGAGCGGGCCCCTGCCAAACGCATCAAGTTCAACAAGGCCAAGCACCAGCTCCTAGCCCTGGGTCATGGAAATTCACAATAACATTATGGGCTAGGGAATGAATGGACTGAGAGCAGCAGTGCAGAGGACTTCAGGGTATTCATGGATGGGATTCACTGGACATGACCTGGCCATGAGTACCTGCAGCCCAGAAACCCAAACATGTCCTGGGCTGCATCCAAAGCAGTATGGCCTTCAGGGCAACGGACGGGATTCTGACCCCCAACCCTTCTCTGCTGAGACACACTTGGAGTGCTGCATTCAACTGTGGGGTCCCCAGTACAAGAAAGGCATGGAGCAAGTCCAGAGGAGGCAAGAAAATTCATCAAAGGGCTAGAACATCCCTCCTGTGAAGAACTACTGAGAGAGCCAGGGCTGTTCAGGCTGGAGATGAGAAAGCTGTGGGGAGACCTTATGATGGCTTTTCAGTATATGAAAAGGACTTCTAAGAAATTTGGAGGAAGACTTTTTACCAGGACTTGTAGTGACAGGACAAGGGGTAATAATTTAAAAATGAAAGAGGGTGGATTTAGATTGGATATCATGAAGGCATTTTTTACAATGTTAATGGAACAGGTTGCCCTGAGAAATTGTTGATCCTCATCATTGAAAGTGTCCAATGTAAGGTTAGATGGGACTTCGAGCAACCTAGTCTAATCCATGATGTCCCATACCATGGCAGAAAGGCTGGCCTAGATAATCTTTATATGTTCCTTCCAGCCCAAACCATCTTCTAATCCTCTTATTCTACAAATTTAAAAAGTACAACATATAGCTTATTGTATAGAATATTTTGTCTTTCAACTGATGTAACATATTCAAAATATTTTCTATTCTATTTAATAGCTGATCAGTGGACTGTTACATGTTTTTATACAGGCTGAGAAGGAAATAATGAAGACTTTCTCAATGTAGAATCCAAATACATTCAGGTAAAATTTAAGAATTTACTCATAGGAGAAGTGTGGAAACTCCTTCCAAAAACATTGAAGGAGATTGAAACTAAAAGAGAATATTTATAAGTCCTTTTGTTTTTTAGTTCATTTTCTTTTCATATTTTAGGACATACTGAAGATGCAATGGCTTTAGTGAAATAGGTAAAACTACTGACTAATACACACTACAAGAAGAATACAAAAAGGATGCAATCTTGGTATCTACATCTTCAGTTTACAAACTACTTTGCAATTTTCTGCATTCCAACATTTATTCTTTATTGCATGCATTACTCAATTGTTTTATTTCTTTATAGTATTATTTGTTTATGGCAATATTTAATCATGATAAAATAAATAATATCTGTCCTATATTTCCAGATGAATCATTCATTACAACAAAATCAATTTACTCATTAGAATTGAACAAATATGATCTTCAAGATGGAACATGCCATATTAGTGTCACTCTTGCAATAATACACTTTTTTAAAGAAATTATGGATAATTTTAACCTACCTGTCAGGTATGTTTGTTCATGTAACTCTGTGATGCTTAATAACTCTGCCTTCTGCTGCTGACAGCTTTTTCTTGCCTGATGCCATTTCAGAGCTGCCTCAGAGTTTATCTGGTACTGGACATTTGTTAAAGGGTCTGTGTTCCACAAATCACTACTAGTAACTATAGGGAGAAATGAAAATTCTCATGAAAACAGAGCCAGATAAAATATACCAAAAAAATTGCATAACAAAAGACACAAAATGCCTGAACGGTGACAAATGCTTAGAAAGGAATCCTGAAGTTCTCCTATGTAACAGTAGATCTAGGACAGAAGATAGGGAATGAAACAAAGTCACCATTTACTGTGGTACAACAAATCTGCTGTTTAAGGTAAATAATAAGTAGTTAAAATGTGCTAAAATAGTTGATTTGTGAATGTGGAGAAAAAGACTAAAAAATTCTAGGCTGATGCTAACTAAGGTGTATATCAAGCTGACCTTTTTTCTAAGATAAACCCCAAATTTTTTACTAATTTGGGTCACTATGTAAGGTGGCTATGGATTTTCTTACTGTGATTGTGGTAGTCAGACCCAAGTGCTGAATGCAAAGCTGACATCATCAGCATCCATCTCATATTTTCCTGCAATTCCTGATTTCTTAAGCATGTGTCTGACATTGCATGACTTTCTCCTCTGCCACAAAGCCTGACTGAACTCCTTGAGTACCCAAACTTGGCACTTTTAGGTAATTCTATTCAAAGCATCATCCAAGAACTCTCCACATTAGAAATTGCCCCAGAAGGTACCACACTCTACACTGCTGAAGTCTCTCCTGGCTCATCTCAATTGTGTCTCCATAAACAAGCAACAAAAAACCAGTGTGATCTTGATCTGCCAAAAATGGAATCTATGTGAGGTCCAAAACTGAGCTAAACACCACATAAAGAACTAAAGCAGAACACAGCAGAGATTACTAAATGTCTGACAACAAGGAGAATACAACTGAATTCCTGAAGCATTTATCAGCTTCTTAAGTTGCAAACTGAAAAAACTGAGAGAAAAATTTATGAATTCTTATCTGAATTCCGAGTGCTTAGAAAACTTCAGTCTTCAAATAAAGGAAAACAGTACAATAAACAAAAGTCAAAACAAAGCATGATACATGTTAAGTATCAAGAGGTCACTTACAAGTTCCACTTTTTTCTGTATTATATCTGATTATCTATAGGTAATATAAAGTGCTTCTTTTCACGTTATCTTTATGTTAAAAAGAAATCAAATATAACCTACTGTAATAATGACATTTCAGTAAAAATGGAAACTTCCATCTGATTATCATTATCCACAAATCGACTTCTGTCCAAAATATTCTATAACTATCAAAATCAAAACTTCTTTGCTATCTTATGCTCTAAAATACCATAAATCCCTGTGCACAAGCCTGTGATAAAATTAATATTATAAAAATAGTAAAATCCATAATTCAGTAAAGAAAACTAGCTCTGACTTGATAGTAAGGGGTTTCTAAATCTTGTGTAATTTTTACAGAGAAGAGATAAACAAGTCTTGGGCATTCATCCAACCTTCCACCTCAGTTCCCCAGTCTCATAATTTATAGCTGACTTCCATATGGTGCTCTCTTGTAGAATTTTGGCCTTTCATAAAAATCAAACTCATTTCTAAATCTTGAAAATTTGCTTATAAGATGTTTGAGTTTTAAGAGTTCAAAAGTCTTTGCAGAGCAAGATTTTGGAAAAATCTATATGCTGTTGCTAAAAGCTCAGTTCCCCAGTGAAACAAAATGATGAATCACTTTCTTGGAATAATATATTTTAGCACCTAAGCTAAATTAATATTAAATCACACCTGTCCTCAGTACATAAGTAGAAAATTAATAAAAATCCGAACTCTATCTCCACACAGATGAATTCAGCATGCATTTACTCTCTGCAGTTTTTGTTTCTGTCCTAATCATCTGCATTTTCATGCATTGGTTAGAGGGTTTTCTGAATCCTTCACTAGATATACAGCTCCTTCATCTGTCAAGAAAAAGGCCTCAATGGACTTTTTCCCACTGGAACAGAGCTATAGGTACATGTTGAGTCACTGTCCTGATGTTCTTACACTGTGCAACTTGTTTTCTTCCCCAACACCTTCTTTGAAGTGCAGCACACAGTTCAAAAATATATGGTGTAACCTATAAAGAAGCAGCATTTCCTAGGCTACTAAGAATTGTTTGCTGTAGCAACACTGCTTAGCTCCTTTCTTTGGGGTTTAAGCTTATGCTGTTACTGTCTCAGCATCTCTTTCCAAATCACCAAATAAAGGTTCATAATCACAATTATGTCACCTCCACTGATAAAATTTGTCCACCTTTATTGATTATAATAACTGTTGCCAGTACAGCCTCATGCTCTCTTCATTTTGGAGAACATTTGAGGTGGTTTTGGTGACAGTGGGAAGTAACTGGGTCAGCCACAGAAATTTCACTGAAGGTCCTGGCCCCAGCATGAGTGGCTGTAATGCTTTGCATCACATATTTTCATGCTGGCACCCTTGGTCCCCTGCACAGTTTAAGAAACTGCCCTTCATTCTTGGTGAATAAACTTTAACACACATAGACTTAAATCTTCTATTTTTAAAGGTGTTGATGAAGTTTATTAATTTATCACACTCTCATATCTCATTCATTTCTCTTTTGTAGGGATGACTAAAACTTCTGCTACCATGGCCTGTCTCTCACTAAAATATATGACCCAAACTTGAGCATTTTGTAGCCAGTACTAAAAATCAGGAAGGAAACATGCAGGCAGTCAGCATAAAGCAGATTTTTCCAAAAACAATCACTGCCATCTGAATGGATTTCCTTGAATTATGCTGAAGAATTAAACAAAATTTTAATGATGCCTCCTATTTGCTGGACTTAAATAATACTGGGCAGGGAGTATTCTTAAGTCAACTTTGCATGTGATTTATTAATGGGATTGATATTCCCAGCATGTTTTTATTAACTTGAAAATGATACTGGCGTAAGAGAAACAAGAAGTCCAATTTTTATTTGTCTGAAATACTGAATGCAACATTCATGGAAATCAGGCAAGGACACGAGTATTTTGTCATCAAACCAGTTAAGATCAACCCAAACAGTTTTCTTCACATCTAAGGAAACACATATTTTTCTCCTTAGCTCTGCTTGCAGTCAGCTGGAGCTTTAGAGCAAAGCACAATAATAAAGAAGAAAGGAGGGAGAAATACTACCCTTCTCAGCATGACAGAAGAAGCAGCTTGCAGACAGCATGTTTAGTACATATTGTACAGAGGTCCAGAGAAAGTTCATTAAAATTTAAAAGAATTAAAATGCATGCAGGCATAAACTTCTCCCATTTACTTAAAGATGAACATTTCTAAGTAAAATTCTGCATATTGATAATGCTGCATTTTAAACACCAATTATACTCAAACCAGGGAATTTAGAATACAAATACTTCTAATTGAGTTAAAAGACAGAATTAAAATACAGTACACAGATTTGGGAAACACTGGGATGTACTAAAGAGTTCATGAAAGCTTCTTCATGTCTAAAAGACATTCTCCAAAGTAATTTTAATTTTCAATTAAACTGTATTCTAGCTTTCAGTTCCACTTCACAGATTTCTACTTTTTGACCTTTTAAATATATATTACTTATCCTAATGTAACATCTTTACATCTAATTGACTTTCTATTTAAGTAAATGGTGTATGTGGAGATTCCAGACTATGATTAACATGCTTTCACAAAAAATAATTGGGCAATGCTTTTTATGCTGAGTCCTATATTTGGACATTTATGTAGCTCTTAAAAGGAATGCAGGTTAAACAGAGACAGAAACAGAACCATTTCAAACTCTAAAGCACAAGTTATGGACGTATTTCCAGGCAGCTGAATAACAGCACAGCAGAACCATGAATGTAAAAAGCTTACATTTCGTTGGGCAAAATCCATACTTCTTGTCAACATCATAGTCCGAAGTGGTTCCACACCAGAACCAGCCATCTGATCTGCCAGCATCTGTGCAGTCAGCATACCATTTACCACCAAACTTAAAAGGAAATACACAAGGCGCTCCATTGTCATTTCCTTTCACTGTGTAAGTATCTAAGGAGACACAACAGTTAAAAAATGTATAAAATCATTAAGCATGGGACATATAAGAGTCCATCTTTATGATCTTATTACAAATTATTATAGCAAGGAAAGCTTATATAACTGTATTAGAAATGGAACATTGATCATTTTACTCTAGGTCTAAGCTGATACCCACATTCACAGTGAGGCAAATTTTTGTTGCTAAGGGAGACAATAGACCACAACTGACTGAGCCAAGACAAGTAAATTCCCATGCTAAATTTCCCACGCATAACAATCAAAAATATGAAATTCACACACTTATGCAATTTCTTAAAACAAAAGACAGTTGGGTGTTCTGTCAATAACCCAGTAAACTGCTGATCATTTTGGACATGGAAGAGCATGTACAAGTAAACTTGAAAGATACATACCATGGAGTGACTCCAATATATTATGCCCAAATAAATTTTATGTTTACATCTAAAGACACTTCTTGTTTTATCAGAAACCTGACTCAATGAAACTTAAAAAAGCAACTAAAGCAGCTTTCTGTGTGTGCACATGAGATGTACATTCACTGATGGAAGGACATACAGGGGAGCTGTACCTGACAAGGATTTTTGGAGAGGTGACATACCAGGGTCACTGTCTCACAGAGCTGCTAGAAAACAGGGGAGGAAGAAATAGCAGGACATTATTACATCTCCCCCCTGCCTTCTTTTACATAATTCACTTTGCTAGGGTTCTTCTATTCTGGCTTCTGGCCAATGATTACTACTGTAATCAGCCATGGTGTAAACCACAAAAACTGCATCCATACCTCCCTCTGTGACCATTTCTGTTTATCAAAGGATACTAAATGGGAAATCAAATTTAGTATTTCCAGATACTTATCATGAATGTATGTAGAGATATATTATACGTAACTTTTTCAAATTTAACTATTTAAAATATCTCATTTCTTTGTCTAACATTTTAGCACCAACTCTGAGACCCTTTTCAAACCCCTAGGAAGACATCTGCAATACATTGGAAATGAATATATCAACAATTAACTAATATCTTACTGACAGTTAATATTTTCACCCCAAGGAAAAAAAAAATAAGACCAACAGACTAAACACACTACGTCTTTCTGCACACATGTAGTAAATAGTAAAAGCTGTCATCAGCTGCTCTGTAATAGTTATACACGTTTTGAATAACCGCAGAAATATTTATTCTCTCCAAATGAATTGCTACCATGCATGATTAATCATCTATCAGCACTTTGACAAGTTTGACAAAAACCAAAATGAACTACTCAAAAGACAAAAAGCACTCTCACTCAAGTATTGTTGATTTCACCTGAATTCATACTCACTGATCATTAATAAGATTAAGGAAATCCTTCTATACATATAAAATATTTTAATTATCTACACATAAAAATGAGTTTGAAATGCAGAAATTAATTTACAGAACTTTACCTTCATAGCCTCGGGAACACAGATCGTCTGTGGTTCCGTAGACTTTCCACCTACTCCATGAACCAGATCCCTTGTACAGCATAATATTCCTTTCCTGTTTGTTTCCATAGTTGAAAAACAAATCTTCCCCTTGGATTGCAAAGAGAGTCTCATTTCTGCATTCCCATCGCTGAAGTTCACTAGCCTTGTCACAAGGATACAGAGTGATCGGAACCCAGTCTTTCTTCGAAGGCACTCCCAAGCACAATTTGAATGCTATGCTCATAAGCTGGTGACCTGAGACCCACCTGAATTTTTGTGACTCATTTTCTTGAACACAAGGAGCAGTAGTCACTGAATTAGAACTTTGAGCCAGTACACAGCGCTTGTGATCTTCATTATATATTAAGAAGATGCTAGTATCTGTAAGAAAAAGAACACTGGAATGATTTGGGTTGAAGTAACCTTAGCTGCTATCTAAATTAAGTATGAATCTGGACACTCCTCCTGGTGTGAAAATCTCATCATATGCTCAGCAAAAGAAGGTGTGAACTACACCTGTTAAAGTGGCTGTATGATGCAAGTAGTTCAGATGTGAGGACATTTCAACTATTTTGTGTCAGTGAAAGCATCTACACACAAAAGCACAAGGCAGCAGAGGTATAGACCTAGTGTCTGTCTCCTGTAGGTTTAAAGCATGGGTTAAACTGAAGAGAGAAAACAACACTCATGGTGCTAATCCAAGCTGCACCCATGGGAATTACTGAAATGGGGAAACATGGACACTGTAGAGAGCAGATCCTGACACTGAACCCTCCAGCAGCGCTGGCTCCCAGGCGCGGGGAGATGACAACAGTCATTAAGTCCTTCAGGCTCCATTTCCTCAGAGTGGGGGGCTCTATTCTCAAAAGTCCTGCTGAAATCTCTAAAGTATTAATGAGGAGAAGGATATGTTTTTAAGCTTTATACTCAAGCTTCTTGTAGAACATATTTATTTTTCACTTCAGTCTTCAGTGACTCCTTTCTTGCATCTCTCCATTATGAATGAAATACCAACAACCGTGGGATTTGCCATCACCAGTTATGCCTCTTCATGACTTACAAAAATATACAAAGTTCTTCATAGCTTCCCAGGTTATTTCTCCCACTTAGTAAACAGTGTTTCACAGCATGCATTTTCATGAATACAAGGCTGATTTCAGAATTGTAGCCACTTGAAAAATTTTTAGCATCTTTTGCACTTAGATGTGCTATGGAGTGTAACATTTCTGAGCTGATCTTCCTGAAAGACTGAAAATTTCTCCTCTCTGATCCACCTGAGATACATTTTAACACAGTAACTTAATCACGCTCTTTTGCATAAGGCAGCAGGATGCACAACATTTTAAAGCTGTATTTTAGCTCGACTAGGAAAGAGAAATATTAATGTGACTCTGGGGATTGAAGCTAATTAAAATACTACTTATTTTAAAGTATGATTACCAAACTAAACAAATTCTATAATGGAGAAATAATAAAGGGGAAAACAGGTTAACCACAGAAAGTCTTCCCTTCTCTGCTGAGGCTTTAATGTGGAAATGATCATATTTTTCTGCAGAAGAACAATCTGGGAACAAATAAGCTCTCTCAGAGAAAGAGCTGACCTAGACCTATCTCATCTATAGTTCAGCTTCCTTCTCTTGTTGTTTGGCTTCCACTTTACTGGGAAGTAATGTAAAACTGATGAGCACTGGAGGCAGAAATTGTTGTCTTTTGCCAATCTGTTTTACTCACAGACAATACAAGGAAATGTATAATTATCACTGCTGGTGACAACTTCTTTTTATTCTGCTTTTCTACTAGTATTTAGCACAAGGTTATTATGAACTGATATATGCAGTGCTTGCAACTCTCCTTTTCCTGAAATTGTGTTAAAAGTTTCTGGATAAAAGAGATGTCAATTTCACATATGTAGAAAACACTACCTGACTTTTCAAACTGCTAAAATTGTATCTGTGGCCTAAAATAACAGTCCTTATTTTCTGGTTCTTCTGGTGTTAAAGAGAAGATGCTGCACACATGAAAAAAGGGTCCCTAAGTCAAAAGGCTGGATTTCTGCATCCGTGCATGAGAGTGTGCAGAATTTTGGCTTCAGAAATGAAGTTATAAAGCTGAACAAAGTGGTGTGATCAGTGGGGATGGAGAGGGAGACAAAACTTAGGCTCTCTGCTGTTCTGATGGTGCTTTTACAAAGCATCAGAAGCATGTAAACCCAACACACCTGCTTATACGAGGGCATATTCCAAATGCAGGGAGTAGTACATATCTAAGCAGCTAAAAGGCCAGCACAGCCAAGGAGGTGTCAAAAATAAGTTGACACCAACGCAGGAGAATAGAACAAGATTCTATAAGTAGGATGCTGGAGCAATTGTGGCTGAGGTTGTAATTGCAGGATTTCCTTTCCCTCAGTGTTGCTCCTCTCTAGCCCATGGCCATGGAGCAGACTTAGTGCTGCATTGCTTAAGTTTACACCTTTAGTTCTCTTTATTCTTGGTCACCAAAGGGGATTCCCATGTAATAGTGTCTGTGTGAATAATTAGATAATCTAGAAGAAACAAGCCAGGTATTTGTGCAGCACTTCCTTTGCCCTGCCAAATCCTCTCTGTAAACACTTGATACCACTCTTGGCAACATGATGAGCTGTATCTGTAAAATGGGCTGAGCAGAATCACACATATCACTGTTAGCTGTGCTGCACTGTTCTGTAGCAACATTTGTTACAGAGCTCCGTAACAAGTGCTGTTCTTCACTACAGATGAACCGTGGGTGGAACACTGTTAATGTCCACCACAGTGTGCTCATGAGTGTTAGTACTTTGAATTAAACCTATTTCTAACAGTAATTCATATTTTGAAACTTACTCCTGTAGGGAAGGTCTTTAAGATGCATAAGAACATGCCAGGCTTAGGAAACAACTTCACCATTACCAGTGCACAACCAGCCATTCAGGGAGATCTAGCATCTTTTCCCTCAAATGTCCCAAGTAGATCCCAAAAGAATTCTTCTAACAGGCTTTCATTTTTTTTTTTACCCACCACACTGTGACTATTTGCTTATCTATCTCTGGCCCCAAGCTGTATCTTAAGAATTGTGCCAAGTACTGCAGAATCTCACCTGACAGTATCATTTCCATAGTAGAGATTTCCAGTATGCCAAACTGGCTTCACACTCTGCAGCATTTGCAAACCATCACAGATTTTGTGAGTATAAATAAAAAAGTAATTTGTGAAGCCAGTGAAGTGCTTCAGAGAGCATCAGAAGAGCACATCCAAAGCAAAAGAGGAGGGAGCAAGGAGGCAGCAAACAGGTAGAACAGACGACTGTCTTCTCTACACAGACTCTTGCTTACCAGATGGCCTAAACTGATTGCTGCCAATTACACAAAGGAAGAAAGGTTACAAGGCAGTGTTAGGAAGATTTGCATCGCTAGATCTCAATCTAGAGAGGAGACCATGTTGAGAGGTTTTCAGGAAGGGCAGGTGCAAAACTTTCACTGAAAAATAACTGTGACCTGGCAATCATGGTAAATCTCAAAGTGGGAACAAACTCCATGCATCACCAAGCAACATAATTTTCCCATTTTGACACCTCTCTCCACATCAGCGCCTCAGCTACCTTAACATCCCCTGACAAAAGCCATCTGCCAAAAGAGGGGCCCATCCAAGAGGACTGGAGGACAGGCACAGCCCCAGTAGAAGGCATTTCTGCAAACCTCTGCGGTGAGCAGGTCTGTGAGGGAAATCTGGGTGATGCTAAAATCAATAGGGGACTGATCGGAGCGGTGGGGGAAACTGAGGCAGCGCCGGTGACAGCCCTGTTCGGCGTCCACAGTGCCGCGGGCACTCAAAAGGCCGCCCTGACAGGCAGCTTTGCCCACGGGGCACCTCTGGGTGTGGGTGAGGAAGGGGTCCCGAGGGGAGGCCGCCTCCATCAGCCGCCCGCCCGCCGCCGTGAGGGCTGAAAAGCTCTTGGGCATCACCTGCGCGAACGCGCCTGCCCCCGCAAGCCCCCGGGCAGCTTCGGCTCTGTGCCCGCCCTGACCCCTCGTTTTTTGGCTCTCCTGACCCGCACAGCCCCCGCGGGCACTTACCCAGCAGCGGAACAGCCCGGGGCAGAAGTCCGAGGAGAAGCAGGAGCAGGGAGCGAGCCATGGCCGCGGCTCCGCCCGTGGCGTCCCGCCGGGCAGCTCCGCCGCACTTGTGAAGGGCTGGTGGATCAGGGGAAAACTCTGCGCTCCGAATGATAAGGAAATATCCTGTCACATGGGGCGTTTTGAAATAACAGGAATTCGCTGTTCAAACTTTGCTTTCCTAAGCTGATTTTTTTCCCTTAGCGGAGGAAAGAGCCTCCTTCCAGGCATGTGCAGGTGATAAAGCGGTGATAGCCGAGAGGAGCGCTGCTTTTTTTGTTGTTGCCGTTGTGTGTGGTGTTTGGTTTTTTCTTGTATCCCCTTTGCAACTCTGACAGCGTTGCATCTGGGTCAGCGGTTTGTCTTCCAAGAAAATTAGCCAACCCCGCTCCGAGGGAGGAAGATATCCCTCTCCTTTTCTTCTGGGGTAAGGAAAGAAGGATAAGGGGTAAGAAACCCAAGTCTCAAAGAAAACCCCTGCTGGAACGCCCGGGTTGCTCCCCAGAGCGAGGACTGCAGAAGGAGCAGAGACCTACTTTTGGGAGCCCGGGATCTGGGCTGCGCGCCCGTCCCCATCACTCCTCCCCCGGGTGCCAGAAGGTCGCTCCGCCGGGAGCGGGGCACGGCCCGGGCTCGGGGCTGCTGAGGAGGAGCCGGAGGGCACGAGGGAGCTAAAGAGCTCTAAGAGACATTGTCTGAAGTCCAATAAATGAACTTCAGCCGATTTATTTGTTTATTTACTCTACTGACAGTGATGGCTCTATCTGCTGTTAACAGGACTCAAATCTTGCTCGTGAACCAGTGCGAGAAAGACAAAACCTTGCCTGCTAGCTGAGCTTCACAAGCTGAAGCACCTGCCTGGAATGAAATGATATTTCTGAAAAGGTGCCTTTAGAGCATAGTCTGCCTTGATATTCTTACAGCTTCTTGCTGTCCTGGATACAGAGCAGCATGTTATTTCCTCGAGATCTCTATCAATATACAGTCTGAAGAGTCCCAAATGGATTGAAAACATCAGTCTTATTGTTGTTTCACATAGAGAGGCCTTTGTAACATATGGGACTTACTGGGTATTTTGATGGGGCATACAGGAGGCTCAGGGAGCACCTTATTGCTCTCTACAACTCCCTGGAAGGAGGGCTTAGTCAGGTGGGGGTTGGTCTCTTCTCCCAGGTAACAAGGACAGGACATGAGGAAGTGGCATGAAGTTGCACCAGGGGAGGTCTAAACTGGATATTAGGAAAAATTTCTTTCCTGAAAGAGTGGTCAAGCACTGCAACAGGCTGCCCAGGGAAATGGTGGCATAACCATCCCTGGGAGTGTTTAAAAATGTCGAGATGTGGTGCTTAGAGGAGTGACAGTTGGTTGGTTTGGAAGTGCTGGATTAATGGTTAGACTCAATGATCTTAGAGGTCTTTTCCAACCTTAAAAATTCTATGATTCTATGAACCTGTAAGGCATTAAACCTACCACGTGTATAAAGCCTGTTGTGCAGCAGGTTGTACCCCTGTGCTGTCATGCAATTGGAAATCTCTGATAAGGATTAAAAAATTGTCAAAATCCTTCTTGATGGAAGTTCTGGATGGGAAAGTCCAGCACATACAGGGAAACATCGATATGAGATTACTATGGAAAGAGGCAGAGCAGAGTAAAAAGGTGTTTTGACACTATTGTAAGATTGAACAATAAATGAAGAAGAAATAATAGAGATGAAAAACAAGGTCATTTGAAGTCAGTGAAGCTCCTGTTAACATTGGAAAGGATTCCAGCCGGGCACTTCAGCTGTGCTGGGTCCTCTTGGGGGCTATGTGAGGGGAGTAAAGAGGAAGTGGTTCATAATTTGTCTCAACATCTGTAGAACCACAAAAAGGTCAGGAACAGCCTGGCCGAGGGACAGGAGGTGGGAAGTATTTCAGCCATAATCAGCAATGTTCTGTATTGTTGTGTTGATGAATTGTCGTGTGGGAAACTTAATCTCTTGCTGTAGTGTATGGGAGATACTTATTTTTCCCAAATTATTTGCAAAACTCAAAAGCCCAGGAAAAAATCTAGTGCTAAAAGGAACAAGTCAGATGCTGCTGCCCTAATAGAGCACTGCTATTTCTAAGATTACCACTGAGAGTTTGGGTATTTGTGCTACTCTTTTGGCTCAAGATAAACAGAGAAGGGAGATGCTGTGTGAAGTTGAGTCTTAATATAAAATAATAAAACTGCCACCAAAGTCTTTACATGGTTATGTAAAGACTGAGTATGTGATGATTATGTGCAGCAAAGGCTGCATGTAACTTAAATGAATATGTGTGTTGCACAAACAGGCAGAAAAGGGGAAATAAGAAGATTAAGAGTGATACCTCTTTGGCTGTCAGTGGCTGTATGAGGAATGAGCTATACTCTGAAGTGACAGGAGAAACTGTTTTAGGCTATTCTTGGAGTTCTCAAAACTCAGGGCAAGATGCTGAACAACCAGATCCAAGTCAGCCCTTCTTTACAGAGGAGGTCATGCTAGATGACCTAGGTCTCTTCCAATCAAAATGAGACTTCAGAACTACTTCCAAGAGAAGTATTCCAGCCTCCCTTCCTGATCTGAAAACTGCCTTTTTCTCATTTTCCCTTACACTCACTGGATATACTGGAGATATTAACAGCTCAAAGCCATTTTGACACAGTCATATGCAATACACACACAAATGTCTATGTGTGTATACATATGTCTTCACATTCCCCCTGTCTAGAGCGGCACAGGTCTTGATGAGCTTATTCATGTAGCCTCCGCGTCTCCTCTGCAGCACACTCATCAGTAATTATATCTGGATCTCTCTTTCATCATGAATCATATATTCTGATCTGATACAGTCAAAGGGAAAGATTTTCTCTCCTCTGAGACAAAAGAATTCAGCAAAGTCTCAGGCTGTAGTGATTTGTAGGCAAAAAGTTACCAAAAGCTCAATCTGCTAAATAACTAATGACAGGGTACATGTCCTAGATAGACATATGTTTTCATCTTTCCCGTGGGTAGGAAGCCAGCTGACATTTACACAGAACAGAAAGCCTTGAATTCCTCTGAGACAGGTCAGACCCCCTTTTCATCCAGTTTTTGCAACTGGTCATTCTTCCTGGCAAAATACACTGAAATCCTGAAGCCACAGTGGCCCTTGACTTTTATAGCAGACTGGAAAATGGAAAGTTCAGTCCTAAATAAAATGATATCCAGACTTGAAACATAATGCCTGTATTGTATATGTGGAAGAAAAACAAGTGGATTACTATCCATGCTTTTACATTTGCATCCAAGATGTCTTTTGATGTTTCCTGTGGGAACCTGTATCTCTCAGATATGGTTATCTACACATTATTAATATTTGCATGGGTGCTGCAGTGGGTTACCTGCAATGGGAGCCTAAAACCATTATTGTATATCATTAGTCATCCCAGAGTGTTTAAATAACATTCTCACACTACTGAATGATTTGGGAGAGAGAGCTTTCTAGAAGATTGTACTGTTATAAGAAGACAATTGAAATTAGACAGTGTACTGGTTTTGACTTGGATGGAGTTAATTTTCTTTGTAGCAGCTCAGATGGTGATATGTTTTTGGGTTTCCGGCCAAAACAGCGCTGTTTTGCACAGCCTGAAGGCCTTTCCTGCTTCTCATGCTACCCCATCAGTGAGCAGGCTAGGGTGGGCAAGAAGCTGGGAGGAGACACAGCCAGGACAGTTGGTCCCAAAGGACCAAAGAGATATCCCACACTCTGTGATGTCACGCTCCACCATAAAAGCTGGGGCAATGAGAAGAAAGGGGGCACATTCAGAGTTATGGTGTCTGTCTTCTCAAGGCCCTGATTTCCTTGGGAAATAGCTGAACACCTGTCTGCTGCTGGAATGTAGTGGAAAAATTCCTTTTTCTTGTTTTGTTCATGCAGCCTTTTGCTTTCCCTATTAAAATGTCTTCATCTCAACCTATGAGTTTTCTCACTTTCACCCTTCTGTTCTCTCCCCCATCCTGCTGCAGGAGAGGGAGCAAGCAGCTCTGTGGGGTTGGGCTGCCAGCTGGGGCAGAACTACAACAGACACAGACTAAAACATTATTTATAGTTTCAAGAACTTTTACTATTCTGTACATTCTAATTAGTAATTAGGAGTGAGAGAGTTTTTTTTTTTCATTTAAACCAGAAACTTTGAGGATAAAAAGGAGTTAAAAGCTAAGAGGAAAATCACAGAAAATTAGACAGAAATCTTGAATTTTCTCAAAGAATTTTCAATGACAGTCAAACTAAATGTATCTGTCAAGATGAGGCAAAGTTGTTTAGTTCATACAGTGTTGTGTATGGACTAAAAGAGCCAGGACACAAACCTGTGAATGCTGGGTGTGGATCAACAGCCACAGCAGTTTATTTAAAGTGTAGCTGAAGCTGAATCAGACACATTTCCTCCATACAGGAGCTAGTAGAAGGAAGGTTTAGGAACACTTTGAGCATTTTTTCATCTCACTTCTTGCTTTGCAAGGCTTAAGCTCATCTTGTTGACTTCTGCAAGCACACAACACAGCTAATAGGAACAGTGAACAAAACAACACATAAGTAGGATCCAGTCCAGCACGGGTTTTACAATACCATTACCTAAACAACAAATTGTGACCACTGGTGAGAAAAATAAAAATAATGCAGTAATACACTGCCAAGAAATTAAACTCATTGCTCTGTAATCACTTTAAATCTCACCAAAAGAAGAACAAAAAAAAAAAGAAAATACACAAATGTATTCAGCTCCTACATGTCCTAGAACTGCAGTACAGTCATCCTAACCTCCCTTTGCTGTCAATGGATGGAGCAAAGGAGGAGCAATAAGCAGAGGACCAATTTAAATGTCATGCTCTTATTCTTGGTCTTTCCTGAGCCTGCATTCCTGGACAGGATACATACATCATTGTGCTAAGTAGTACAAAAGAATAAATATTAAATCAGAATGACTTCTTTCTTTTTTTCTTTTTTTTTCTCAAGAGAACAGCTCAAACCTTTATTGTGAAACCCTACATGTCATCCCTTT